CCCCCCCCCCCCACATACAAAACTTTGTAATGAGCGATACGGTGAAAATCAAGCAGTTTTCCACTTTTGTAACCCTCCTATTGTTTCATACTTGCCTGCATTCATTTTTTTCATTCTTGTCCGCCATATTAACAAAAGTTTAACAAAGCCGGTTAATAAAATTTGAGATAAAGAAGTGAAATGTCGTTTACAAAATTGAAGGCATATGTGTTGAATGGCAGACAAAAATGAAAAAAAAATGCCAGTTAACACAATTTTGTATCGGTCAGTGAATATTGTACTGACTGCGAAACGTACGTACCCCATTCCCTCTCATGATCCGGTGTAACGGGACAGAGAGTCCCCCATAACGGAGAGTCCGCTTCTCATTCATTTGTACAGGTGATTTTGACCCACTTTGGTTAAGCTAACCCTAACCATTATAACTTAGTGGAGGGCGGACTTTCTGTTACACGGACCCTCAGTTTCATTACACCGCCCTGGGAAGAATTTCCAATGGAGACTAAGGGTGGGGGTTGACTTATCTCTTCAGGCTTAACCTAACTACCAACTACCCACAAACACACAGTCGTCAATCATATCAAAATTAGGAGCACCATTTATTTTTATGATTAAAATCATGCATTTATATAAGACTTTCTCCTTGGAATTATCAGTCTTACAGCGTTATACCCATCAACACCGGGCTGACAATGTACCTTCGTATTTGCAGAGTACCAACACGGCTGTCCCAAGGGCTGGAAAGAAAGCCCGTACAGCAACTTCTGCTTCAGTTTCAGCAGTTACTCTGAAAGGAAAACATGGCCTGATGCGCGCGCAGATTGTGCTTCCCAGAATGCAGATCTGCTCTCTTATTCCTCAGAATGCGAGCTGGTAGGTGTCTGCTGTTCGCTTTTACAGAAAGGACAACAGATTTGATATACAGCATAATGGAGTCTGCAATACTGAAATAACAAAATGTTAAGCAATGTTGTTTTTTTAAAGTTACATTATTATTATTATTATTATTATTATTATTATTATTATTATTATTATTATTGATTTTGTTGTTGTTAAAATGTCATATTTTGTATTTCATGTCGGATACATAGCAATGGTTAAGTCAACAAATGTTGAAATATGAAAAGAAAGATTCCCGTCTAAAGAAGTGGTGGTCTAGCTTCAACAATATCAAAGGAAGGTGGAAATGGGCAGAGAAGAATGGCGACAAATCGCTTGCGTAAGTTGTAGTAAGTTTATTTTTGACGGCGCGTGGAAACATATCTCTGAGTCTGAGGTGTGCACGTGTGCGCGTGAAACTACATGTGCATGTACGACGTGCACGTCCCGCACTCATCCTTTGCAAGTTAAATCTTTGTGGAAGTTTTATAATGACCATTTTTGTGGAAACATAATCGTAGCGTCAAGTGAAAATCTTCATACAATTGGTGATCACTAACTAAACCCATAGAGTGAATTTTGAAGCTTATGTCTTCCTTGTTTTCTCTGTAAATTGCACTTGCGTAACTTAATGCATGGAAATGCCATTTTAATATCAGTTCATCAATATTTCTTCCCAAAATACATGATACAGAAAGTAAAAAATAACATATGTACCTGAACCTACACTTTGGAGCGTACTTTTGAACTTTTGCTCCAGAAACTGGTTGTGGTTTAAATTCAGATTATTATCGATTACACTAAGAACATATTTTTCGCACCAGGATATGGCAAAAACCTGAAAAAAGCTCCAATAACCACTGTGCACTAGTTAACGGTTTGCAGAGCGGACAGCTAACTCAACGTGACTGTGCAAGGAAGTTCCCTTATATTTGTAAGGCTAAAAAAGGTAGGCGAGCCACAGTCTGCGATAAGAAACTATTTAGCATAAACTATATCTAGCCCACAGACTACACATTTGGTCTAACTTGGGCTTAATATAAATTTGCCATTGAATTCTACAGCAATTAAAGCTCTTGGTATTGTATAAGGGGAGGATTTAGAATTGGTATATTTTTCACTTGCAATAGGTACAGTAACCAAAGTGACTTCAACTACCAAGGAGCCTCAAAAAGTAACGACCGAAAAGAAGACTAGACGTCCAAAAGTGACGACAGTTGGCACAAGACCCTCGACGATAAAAGTTACGCCAAAAACTTCGGTGATCATGTCAACAACGTCACCGCCAACGTCAACTAGCACAAAGCGGACAACAACATCACTGCCAACATCAACTAGCACAAAGCAGACAACGTCACAGCCAACGTCGACTAGCACAAAGCAGACAACAACGTCACAGCCTACGTCAACTAGCAAAAAAGTGACAACAACGTTACAGCCGACGCCGACTAGCACAAAGCAGAAAACAACGTCACTGCCAACGTCGACTAGCACAAAGCAGACAACTACGTCACTGCCGACGTCAACTAGCACAAAGCTGACAACAACGTCACAGCCAACGTCAACGTCAACTCTGTCGTCCTCGTTAGTCATAACTACTACTACTACTACTACTACCACCAGCACCACTACGAAGGCGCCAGTTGTTACGGCTCCAAAAGGTAGGCACTTTCTTACCTGTCTATGAAAATGATAATTTTTTTTTTGTTTGTTTGTGCTTGCGTCGCGCATGTGTGATTATACAGTAAATATTGTGTTTGCAGGAATACCGGTATTATTTTCTGGTATTTTGACGCCTGAGCGAAGTTTCTTTTTCTAAAAGTCAGTGGCTTGTTTTCTATTTCAGACCGCTGCGTAGACAACAATGTATTGTACAGCCAAAATGAAAGATGGAATGTTGGTTGTGAGAGAAGCTGCATCTGCATTCAGCCTTCGTTGAATTTCATCTACTGCGAACCTTTGTACGTTTCAAATCCTAAACTTCATGTCTATCTGCATTGAACATTTGGTACAAGTCGCCTAGCACTACATTTACATGTACAATATATGCAAATGAAGAGGCTTGTTCCTCGGTTAATTTGTATTAGCAGTCTATGCAATTGGTACCTATATTTTAGCCTGAGGCCGTTTTCGTTTTAGCACAACTAACGCACTATAATACACTGTTTTGATTTTACTGCCAGTAGGCTGGGTGGTGCACGTACTTTCGACACATTTGGCTTCAATTTTCACTTCTTTTTCTTATTTCTGTACTGTACTGGTTGATACATGTACTAATCACGGAAACATTTATCTAGGGCAATATAAATCTCATCCACATTCGTCATTTAAATCTATTATTTATTTATTTATTTATTTATTTATTTATTTATTTATTTATTTTTGGAAGGTCCTTCAAGATGCTTTGTCATATTAATTTTTCTTTCAGATGTCCTGATTGGACGGGCAAGGTCCCCCCTGGATGCGTATTGGAACCCCCAAAGCCTGGTCGATGTTGTCCCGAATTAGACTGCAGTAGCCTTACGCCACCGCCATAAATTTACCTCAGGACTGCCTAGCTTTTATCACTTCTCATTGGCCAATTAGACTACAAAGAATTTTTTTAGTTCATACAACTGTCGATATTTTAGAATAAAATTAATTATAATAAATACATGGATCAAAGTTGTCGGGTTTTTATTATGAATCTTCTTGGTTTTTACAGAAGTCTTTCGCGATTCAACATATTATAAAGCATTTAAATTCAACCGACGAACCAGACTGTGAAATGTTATACAGCTATACTTGCTACGTTGGTTTGTGGTTTGAACGGCTCACAGCTCACATTAGTTCTCATAATATTTTTTCACGGGAATCTCATTAATCGCAGTTTCTGGGTGTCGATTATGATTATCATCACTGAGTATTTTTTTGTCAATTTTTGTAAAGTGAGGCCTCCCTTTGTACGCCTATGGACCATTTTTGGGGTTATTGGAAATATTGGAAATATTCCCCGTGCGTGTACTGGTCCAAGACCCGGACCAAACTTGATGCACTTACATAGACGAGATAACAGTCGTGATCGCTTTTTCTTTCTTTTATATGAATATGCATAAATAAACAATTTAAACACGCTTGCCCTATCTACAGGAAGGTGTCAAAGCACAGTAGGCCTACTTCATGAAATCGATCGTAATCGGAAATATCACGCCAACATTTTGTTTAGTAAGGAGGCTGCCTCAAGGTGTGGCTAGTTATTTAGATGGAAGAAATAGATAACTTAGTTTAATCTAATCCCATCCTTAAACGCGAGATCACCACTAATTATACGTGTCCTACATCTTTTAAGCCTTCACACCTCTTCCCTAAACATTCATTTGTTACCTATCTTCCCATTAATCGCAAACATTGCCCCTTGACAAAGCGTTTGATGGCTTCTATTGGTGACACGTGATAGCTAAGGTCACGCTATTTCCCGTCCACCCGCGAGACTATCCTGCTATCTGCATATCCTAAACTTGTACGACGGTGGCCCCGTGTGAATGGCTTTATTTGTTTCTCATCAATTTTATCAACCTTTGGTTTTGATCACGGGGACTACATGCCTTGGGTAATGTTCTAGTCTACTAGGCTGTGCGTCATGATTTTGATGTTGTTGCCACATTAATTTGTACTTCTCAATGATTTTATCACCAAATCCACATGATCTGGCGAGACTGATAAAATACTTGTAGATGAATGGGGAAACAAAGAAAGGAATGGTCGCGAAATATGAGTAAATAATAACCAGTTATATGCGCTTCAAAATGAAGATGCGTATATCAGATGAAGAGGAAGAAGGTGAAGACAAACAGGCCAATAAAGATATTTCACTTCGTATCGATACAAGTCAAAAAAGGGAATATATGAAATACGCCAAGAGAAATTTTAGAATAGCAAGAATAATATAAATTAAATCAGCTCCTGTCTAAAAATTAATACCATCTTCAAATTATTTTTTTACTTTTTAATGTTTTTTATTTATTTATTTATTTATTTATTTATTATTATTATTATTATTATTATTATTATTATTATTATTATTATTTGCAAATCTATCTAAGTAGAAAAACGCAGATAGCATACTAAGAATACAAGTTCCATAAAAGGAAACGTTAGATAAACTACAGTTGTTGTGGTTGGCACGGAAATATTCTAGTCTGGGATTTCCGCTAAATAAGCGAGTATTGAGGACGGATGTAGACTGTGATTTTTTGTTAACAAAACTTCCCATGACCCTGTTTTTGCAACCGAGTAAACATATATTTATAAAAAACCGAATGAGATCGACCAAAATGTTTTCGTTCCCCCTATTACAATTACCGCACTAACCAAACCCCACCTTTTTCATTGACTAGATTTGCCAGCGAAATATTTGAGCAAAAGAAAAAAAAAAGATTTGACCTTTTCATATAACTAGTTGGCGTGTTTGAAGAAATTTCAATTAAATTACACCAAAAAGGTGCCAACACTTTCAATTGGCGGTGACGCGGTCTTGATTAGATGGCCCCCAAAAGTTTTGTTTCTGTCGCGGAAAAGTCGCTGTAAAGCATGATGTATCTACCATCACACGCTAGGCAGCCATGACGCCCCCGACGATAACCACGCGATAACATGCAAGTGAGTCAAACATGGAGCGAAGAGGCCGGCGGAGTCGCGCGGCACCCGTAATTACAGCGCTTGATCGTTTTCATCGTGCGTACCGCGGTCGTTAACAGAGCCCCATTGTCTTGAATTGATTCTGTATCAGTCGGTGCGTTTTCAAGCTGGAGTGAAGTCTATATATGAACTAAACTCGCCATTTTTATTTTCAAAACTAACTCGAGTAAGATCTGACAGGAGAAATAAACCATAAAGGGACTTTTACCCGCACGGATGTGACAGGCCTAAAAAGCACTGATCATCGCGGTACAACTCGGATGATACCCAGCTGAGTTTTTCAAGTCGTTTTTACATATCTGTGACTTTAATCTACCAGCTTGGAGGCGCTGGGGACTCCACGCCTCGGTTAACGTTCATCCTCACCGAGTACCTTCTCGTGCGAGACCGGGGCAACAAGACGAAACGAGTGCTCGGGATGACCGCCATGGCGTCTCGTGCCCGTCGTGACAAGGAGCGGCCCGGGGAGATTTTGGGGATATGCGTGGTGTTTATAATTGTTTTGTTGTGTTTTCACACGTCAGAGGCGGTGATAGAAGGTAAGACAATAGCACAGGTGGTACACTGTTAACATATACATTATGTTGTTGTTGTTGTGATACCTCAGAGACAGTTATTTGAGGCGAGGACACATGCCAATGTCTTGACATATGTCGCATTCTGACAGTATTTTTTTCATAACATCATTTATCTGATCTTACGTACAAAATGGTCATTAAAGGTGGGTTAGACTGTGCGACATATGATGACAATGTTATACTGACAGGTGTGCCATACAGGAGAAAGTCATAGCTTATTATTTTACAGTATGTCAAACTAATTATCAAACATTCGCTGTACAATGTGACGGTCAATAACAAACGTTTTGCAAGCCTACAGAAGTACATATACTCTCATTTCACCACATACCATGAAGTTTTTAATTATTATTTAGAAAGCAATAATGAGTGGCAGTTTTTTTATTTCACCTCACACAGGCAGGTTGACTGTCAATCTGTTTTTTAACACAGCACTTCCACTTGTAGCGTTATGTGAAAACGAACTTTTATACGCCATCAAAACAAGACATACCGGCGCAGTGTCATGTACGTTAAATTGGAATAAGATGATCGCGTTAGATGTATTTCAAAATTTACTAACATTATGCCAAATACCGTGGGCAGTGTTGGGGCAACCAGTTTAAATCCAACGCAGTAGACCAAGACAGGATGACAAATAAGACACATTAGTTTAGATGGTGAGAGCCTGAAAAGGAGTGGGTATGAGACCACACTCTCTCCGCCGTACTAGGTGCAGGTTCTGTCATGGCTTGTGTTAACACTAATATAATGCGGAATACAATCTATAAAGGAAATGAATAAATATGTTCAAAACAAAGGAGACGATTTCATACAAAAAATAAAATAAAGTTTTGTGACTAATTAGCATTATATGGCTTAAAGTATATAATTTTTTGAAAACCTATGATAAACAGAATAAGTTGTGGTGGGTACTCTGGAATCTAAGACTCAGACTAAGACATCTAAGACTGGTAGCGAGATGAGCTCACTAATGTCAAAATTAGGTTAGAAAATCACGTTTAGGACCATTGTTTTAAGTGGATGGAAAGGACAGAGGGATAATTTGGCATTTAGGAAGGAATATCTAAAATGCAATCAAAATTATTTTATAAGGTATCTTGTAAACGCTGCCATTGCCTATAAAACATAAGGAAATACTTAAAATTTCTTAGATTATCACCCAAAATGATGCGGGAGTGGCTTTTGAATTGGGTGGCACTATAATAATAATAAAATAATAGCATTTTGCCAAGAACAATTTGCTGACTTATATGAAATTCATGAATGGTTGTTGCTCGCAAATTTCGAAACTTCCCAATCTGACCCCATGACTAAACCCTAGCACGGCCCGTCTCTTATATGGCACAGTAGTCTGTGACTCATGAAACGATTTCACCGCATGATCCTGTCGTGAGCCATTTGGGTGGCAAATGAAGTTTACCTGACAAAATAGCAGGATATATCAAAACATATCTATAACTGTATTTCCTTTTCCACTTTATGAATGGAATATATGGGAGGGAAGTGTCATGTTTTATCATATTTCCTGTTTTCAGCACAAATACGACGAGATAGCAAGATAGATAATGCTATTACTGTGACAGAGAGTGTTATTTTATACGTTTTTTTCCCTTTAAATAATGGTAGATCAAGCTTGGAGATGTGAAACACTGTTAAGTATGCGTATTATTATTTATTTTCACACATACAAAGACACGCACGCTCACTCACACGCGCGTAGAGAGAGAGAGAGAGGGAGGGAGGGAGAGAGAGAGGACAGGTCTAAGTGAACGTGATCAATTATAAATTCATAGCCAACTTCCGAAAACGGTGCCTTATTGTAAGAATATTAGGACTAATTAATTAGGAATTCCGCCTTTTCCTGGCAAATATCTCGTACCTGTCACCTTCCCTGCTAATTTACGGCAAATTATGCGTATTGCATTACTGTTAGATTGTGCCCATTAATTACAGCTTTTATAATTATATATATTTAAGTAAATATGGCGTTATATCGTCTTCCATAAAAGCTACAACAGTTTATATTACAGCAAGACGTTGACTGTGAGGTGAGAGAGAGAGAGAGAGAGAGAGAGACCATGGAATTGAATATTTATGCGTACAATGCGTCAGCCATGAAATGTAAAAAAAAATTTCGTGTTCAGACCTACTAGTCGATGCACCCACATTGAAATGTGCAAAGGAACGCCGTTTTGCAAAATAAGAAAAAGTAAACGTTCGTTTAGACAACATGTTTTGTATTTTATAGTTTAGAAATGGAACCACTTAGGGAAAAATGAACACAGTTAACTTTTCGAGCTCCTATATAGGTGAAGTAAATGGGCTGATAGGAGCCACAATTTAGTTACTGTGACATTACAATTCATTTACAACTGAACTTTGATCCAAAAGGTAGTGGACTTAATGAACTATTGTCAAATCTTTGAACGCACTGCCTGTTTTTGTCGTATGCTTCAACATTCCGTTATTCCGAAAAGACAACATTAAGCTTAAATTATTTCCAAGTATAAGAAACAAACCCTTTGTTTTTATTCTGAACTTGGTTTGGTACTCTCTTTATTACAAGTGGAGCGATGAATGACCGAGGCAATATGCATAGGACCAGATTTTCGTCAGTAATTACAATGGTCTTTGGTATAAACTTCAGTTAATGGGCCACAGGCACGCAACACGATGTGGTGTAACACGTCGTTTATATGCAGTTTACATATTTATCTTACTGTGGGAGTTGACAGTAGCAGAACTGTATACAGGGTTTATCTGTATAACTTTTGTTTTAAAAAAGAAAAGAAAACCAGAGGATGAACGGAGTGAGAGGTTCAAAGATATAGATCACATTTAACTTTCCGTCACTTGCAAATAAAAACGCTTGTTCGCTCGAGAAGTTATGCAAATATCGTATCGATGAGTGGTATTTTTATTTATTTCTTCGAAAATTATCAAACATGATATAAAAAATTACAGGAACAAGTCATATGACAGTATAACGAAGAGGATATCTATCTATATCAACAAAGAGAACAAAAAAAAAAAAAAAAAAAGAAGAAAAAAAAAAGAAAAAAAAGAGCAACAACAACAAATAGTGCCTGGCGTATTGAGTGCTGAGAAGCATTCAGAGTCTAAAAAAGTAATAAATTTTCGAACCTAAATCGCATTAGGCATGTTTCTCCAAATATGAAGCACATTAGCTACAAATGTCTTACCTCATCTACCTGAGACCGCAAGCGAGCGTGACCCATGAAAAAGTCATTTGCAATATGACAGCCACCCATTAGCCCATATAGGTAAAGTATTGTGGAAGGGGGGAAATTAAAATGATATCAATTTCCGTATTTGAAAGATACACGCGACACCAAGTCTTCAAGACAATTAATAGAAAAATGAAAACACATACAACAGTGTCATCTTTGCTACATAACTCATTCGTATTTTTTCCCTCTGAGTTGGTGTGAATCACTGCCACCATTCGCTTTTATATGCCACTGAATAAAATATATGCACATTGAATGTTAAGAAGACATTTTAAATGGCGCTAACCCATTGCGCATAAATACACCTGTCACTGAAGAATTGCAGTCAAATTTCGAGCATCCTACTGTGAGTTCGTTTTGCCAGAAGAGGGGATAGTGCTCGGCTACAAAACGAAGATTTTGTAGTGAAGTTAACAGTTTTGTTTTACTATAGCCAGTGCAATAATCACTGGCTGGAATGACAAGCTGCATTTCATCACTGTGGACTAATTGTTTTGTCAGTTTTATCCTCTGTGCAGTGTCCAAACACATTACCCTTTGACGTAGATGACACCGAGTACCAGATTTCGAACGAAAAAAATCATATTCTGAATGAAAAAATATCTATGGATATATTTCGTGTGTAATTTCATTTAAGTAGCACTGCAAAATACAGAAAAGAAAATATTCTCGGGAGAAATGTGTATGATCTGTTTAAATGTTGAGATATCTAAGACACCTTGAAAAGGACAAGATGAAACTGTCCAAAATACATCATGTTCACTTTTTAAATGTTGGATGATACAAAACAGTCGTGCCAATATTAATTTTTACTAGGTAGTGCCATTTATTATTTTTTTTTTACTGTTATTGCTAAGTGAGAGCTGTACAGCGTTTTACAAATAATAAATAAATAAATGAATAAATAAATAAAAAAAAAATAAATCAAATATATTTCCAGACTCCTGCAGCCGCCATTGTGCCACCAACGTCGTAGGACTGCTGTGCGGTGACGTGGACGAGTGCACTCAGTATTTCGAGTGCGTCTTTAACCGCTGGATCAAGAGAAGCTGTCCGGCCGGCACGGCGTTCAACTCCCTCCGCTCAACGTGCTCCGTGAGCTCCTTACGCCAATGTCTTGATGAAAAGAAAGCTGCGGCTGCCGCGACAACAGTTGCCACACCGACATCGACGTCAACGCTAAAGCCAACTCCAGAACCCACAACGACGACGACAAAAACAACAACAACACCTGCACTTACAACTGTGGCGCCTTCAACAACAACGACAACAACAGCAGTTACAACGACGAAAAAACCAACAACCGAAACTATAAGAACTACAACCAAACCAGGTGTAGTATTTTTTGACCAATTTAAGACGTCCACTACATTGGGCCCTTTGAACTATACCTCGACGACTCCAGTGACCGTAAAACCGCCGTCGAAACCTCATCGGAAGCCCGTTTACTACCCGCAGTACCCAAAACCTCGATACCCTTTGTACTACGACCAATTCAAGAACTATCTTCCCCCAAACTCAACCGTTTTAGGTACAAAAACAACAAGTAGGGGGATATTTACAACTGGGTCTGCCAAGAAAACGACCCAAAAATCAAACGCCATGGCAACCACACCTGCTACCATACCAACGTCAGTTTACACGATGGGTGCCGGAAGTGCCGGTCACCATGACGACTTGGACCCCTACCACCAGAGACACGTGATTGAGATCTTGGTCGCCGTTCTTAGTGGTCTGGGGTTCCTGCTGATCTGCTGCACGGTCGCCATCTGTGCCTGGTGCATCTGCAGAAAACGGAGCGTGAGAAAACCCAGATCTTCGTGAGTACCGCTCACATTTCATTTGTTTTGTCGGTGTTATTGGTTTTGCCGGTATTGTTGGTTTGAGCATTTCAGTTACAAAAGCATGCCTATGTCAAAAAGATGGATTTGACTTGGAATTTTTTAGTTTTACACTTTGCAGTATTAAATGATGTACATAATATTAATCTGAACGCAAATAATACATTAATTTTAAAAAGGAACCTCTGTTTCGAGAATTTCTAATGGTATTCGTCTGTTTGTTTTAGTTTTAAGAGGATGCAGATCGAGATGTATAACATGAAAAGACGTCACCCTGTATCTGACAACGGCCATTACAGTCCTAGCAACATGGGCCTCTACCAAGAGATTGACGAGGCGAGAATGGTGAGTTTTTCGTGTTCCTCCGTTTCATTACGCATGACCCAGAGGTATAAAATGGTTATAGATTGAGGCCATTGAATTTTTTTTTGCAAAAACTGCGAATATCATAAGGTTGCAATTAGCATTAAAATGAAATTTTTGCATCGCGATTTAAAATAAAACGATTTGCATACAATATTCACTGCATTTGTTAGACAAAATGTAAAAACGTCTTTTTTTATGAAACTGAACCCCCAACTTCTATATATATTGCAGCATAACGAGGCATTGAGAATGGCGGACATCAGCACAATCAGTAACGGCACCATCGCCGCTCGGCAATCTCCAAGAATGAGACCACCACCGGGAATGGCTCGAAGAGTCAACATCAACGCACGCGCGGGCACCATCAGCGGGTGGACGATGCAACAGCGGCCCGTCCTCAGACCAGGGTGGAACTCAAACCACAGAAGAGCGGGCACGGTCACCGGGGCCAACTTATTAAAAAGGGTGGACTATCCAAGCCCAGCGTCGAGCCGGACTCGTAGGAATAAAGGTACCGTTGGTCGACGAACTGGTCCGTTGCCGCCGATTCCAGTGACCGTGCAGCATGAAGACACGGATGACGATCGCGACAGTGGTATTAACTGCCGCACAGTTAGCAGCACGACGAGGATGATGCCCTCGGCGGAGCAAGACCATCACGTGCCACTCCCTACAGTGAGGAAGAACAACAGTCCACGCGGAAGAAGAGCTGAGGACAGAGAGGCAAAACGACGTTCCCTGACAATGCCAGCCATTTCTTCGAAACCACACCAAAGGCCAAGTCTGAACGACCAAGTGTACAGTTACGCTCACACAGGGGGCGCTACCAACAATGACCCCAACTTTGACTACTCGGAGGTGTCGCCATATTCTCTTGGAAGTAGCGATGAACCAATCTACGACGACTGGCCAAACTCCGACGACGAAGGTGAAACTTCCTATGAGACCACAGAGGACGCCACTGACTCCGGCGACAGTCCAAATAATTCAGTCCCAAATCCAGAGAGTACCAGCTCCACTCCTATCAGCAGCGTGCATTATGCATACAGGGTGCTCGAAGAACCGCCTGCTTTTAAGGAAGGAGGAAGAAAGTCGCATTACGCCTGCACAGAATTGAACTCCATGGAACCGGATGGGGCAACCCGCTGTGAGTCACGTGGCAGTAGTAATGACAGTAGAAACGGAGTACCCTTCGGACATTACAAATTCTCTCTGTTGAACGCAGAGGATAAATCCATAACTTCTTCGACAGAAATGTTAGTTCCTGTTAAAGACATAAAAATGCGTCCAATAATGAATGGAGCCAAAAGGCTGGCTAAACCATCTAAGACTGGGCCACACACTGTTAGATCTCGGGCCCCTCCAGGCAACGAGAAGTTAAAGACCGAGCCCATGAGCGTGAGAACACCGAAAGGTAGCAATCCACTTATGCCCGGGCAAAACCGAATCAGATCGCGTTTGCCTGCCGAGAGCGGTGCTCTATTTAAGCCCGATCAACACAGCATAAAATCGCACTCATCTAGCAAAAGAGGGGCTTCATATCCCCAGGAACAAAGTAGTATGAAATCTCGCTCCTCTGGAGAGAGTGGCGTAACTTACAGGACTGGCAAAAACAGTGTAAAGTCGCGCTCTTCAAACGAAAGTGGCAATACATTTAAAGCCGGGAAAAATAGCTTACGATCACCATCCCAAATGGCTGGCCATCCGCGAAATGAAAACTTACTTAACCCTGCTCAATTAGACATTAACAGAGTCTCAAGTGACTCGAACACGTTAAGTGCCAATATGATGTTCAACGAAGAGGACCCGTATCACGAAGCTAATATCGGGGCCTCCAAGGTGGTCAGGGACGGCCAGTTCGAGGACCAGTTTTGTGAAATGTCCTTTGATTCCTCGCCGTTTGGGACACCGAGGAACAGCGGTCTGGTGGAGACGCCATTTAGTGACCAGGAACTTGTCGTTCTGAGCCATAATGGATTTATGAATATTTCATAGTCTTTTGAACATCTTTTTTCGGTGAATACTGAATTTAATTCCCTTGTTTAAATATTGCAATATCCTATGCGGGTTCGATTTTTCTTTTCTTTTATACCTATCTGTATACTTTTAAAACATGCCTATCTGTATACTTTTAAAACATATATTTGTTTTAGAGACACCTCACCGCCTTTCTTTATGATTATTTTTGTATTTCATACTTTCTAAATAACGTATACATTAAAAGAAAAGAGAGATTGCACACAGGGAGACAGTTGTTTTATGAACAACGTTATAGTTGTGAAAATGAAATAAATATAAAGTGCATTGAATTTGCACCATTTTTTCATTCTCATGCCCTAACAGGGTGTGGTGTCACTGACTGTTTGGTACTGAATCAAGGTGGTCTAGACGTACAGTGCTTTTTTATTTCTACCCTGTAATTACAAGGTGGAGATATTCTGTTGATGGGTTTTGATAATGGTGATTTCACTATTGTTCTTTATTTGTTCTATTTGGCACGCCAGGCATGCGGCTAACGAGTGTATTTAACTTACTTCTCTGTTTCATGTACTCAGAAAAACAATAAGCTTAACCACAAACTATGTGCAAAAATTCAACAAGCAATACTGCGATGAGTAAAATGTGGAGCTACGAACCAAAGACCTGATCGTTTCAAGGTTTTTCTCATAGCAAAAACAGGTGCGTGTCAATGTGGCAAACACTGTCTCGCCAACGCCAATACGAACAATGCGTTCGAATGTTTAATGTCTGTTGTATATATCTCTAAAGTCTGATCATGGATCATGTATGTATATTATTATGACGCTCATTAAGGCCAGAAAATGACCAATCAACACCCATGCTGCTAACGATAATGGGACTGAGGTTGGAACAGGCCACTCGTTTGTATTGTACCAATGTCATTAATGTCTTGGTCATTTAAATTACATTTCCAGTGTGCTCGTGAAAAAAGCGTCTGTTGACTAATGACATATTTAACCCATGTATACGTGTGATTTGCGATGACATCATGATCACCTGTGCCCTTTCAGGACCATTAAAGGGCAATGGAATGTCCACTGTGATATGTTTTTCACCTCAGTTAAAAAAGGTGTGGGAAAGTTTTTACTGTTCGGAAAATGGACAAATTGACGCATTGTGCTTTTATTAATGAATTTATTAATTCTTTTAATGCTTCATACAAATGCATATATGTCCTACTGTAATTGATGATGGAAAATGAAAGTGAAAGTAAATACAGTAAAAACAGCACCGCTGTTTGAAGGTTAAGGATGTTTACTCTGGTTCATCAAGTGAATATGACACTCAAAGGCGAACACAGTTGTTGACATTTAAAAAAAATTGACTCCTTTGTATTAACAGTGGACTGTGCACAGCAAATCTATTTCCTTTTTCTCCCATACCCAGTACTTCTCTACTCTCCAGAGAACTTAAAATTAGTTTCCCTGATGAACTGCAATTTTCTCCCAACACTCCAATGACCTTTGCATCTAACCCTAAAAACCAAGTTATGATGAATTGCTAGTAGCCTACCACAGCACATGAACGCAAGGTGCGGAATGCCATTTGGATTCCAGTCTGCACTATCACACGAAAAACTGCAGGTAATGGCCAAGGCATCACCAGTCCGGAGGCACCTGTACGCACCCAAATCGACCACATGTCTCCGATGTACCTTGATAATCACTGTCTATCTGATGTCCTGTTCTCATCAAGTTTGACTTCTACGGGATAAGATTTCACAACAGGAAGCAGATCTGAGGTTCTGTTCACACCACTTACACGGGATAAGACCTGACAACAGGAAGGAGTGGCTTGATTGCAATCCCTTTTTGCAATAGAAAAAAGGCACCTGTCATTTCTTGATTGTATGGCTAGCGCAGGAGTGGTTAGCTAATTTACATGGGGTCATATCAGAGGGTTCTGATCCATGACGCTTTTTAGTCCTTGGGCCGTTAAAGTGTAAACTAATGAGACCACAAGCCAACAGCTATAATATGTATTTGATATCCTTAAAGTATGGACATATCAGCTAAATGGTATTTGCAATAAAAAACTTCAAAATCTGAAAAAATTATCTTCAACTGAAATGTCAATAAATAGTATAGTCACTGTGATTTCCATTATGTGAGGTGGCAAAGTTCAATGAACTTTGCAAGATTCAGACGAAAAAATATAGCTACTTATAATCTTAAGCACTAATTTATCCTTTGTGTTCAGTCTTTAAAGACACCGTGTTCTTTATATCATTAGTATGATAAGTATCAGGGAAGGTTAAAACGATGGCAGCCTATGTTTATATGTTAGCAAATGTTGATTGTTGTGGTGGGTACGATGTCAAAGTGTGGCTTTTCAAAAGAACATAGGTTAACCTGTAAAAAAGAAGTGCCTTTAGTCACGGTTGCCAGTCCCGGGATGTTAACGTCGTTTTTGGTGACAGCTGTACTTTTTTGTGAAGAAAGACGGCAAAATGTTCGTTTTATTTTTTCAAATGAGAAAGGAGAACACAAGACATAGGCCTACTGTTCTGTGAAATATATTAAACAATGAAGCTTTGTAACGATTTTCTGTACCATGTACTGCAACAACAGGAAGTAACCTCTGCACCTTGTTCGTGGAAGGACGGTGGCTGGTCAAAGACAGTAGATGCTTATTTAAAGTTTTAAGTTTAATGGTAAATGATTGTTTAAACGCGGTTTTTCAAAGGGGTATAAAAAGTATGCCGTGTATATTTGTCACAGGTTTGTCAGTGGATTGTCATCAGTTTGAAATCACTGTCAGTGTATGTCTTGCTTTCTGGTTACGTCGTTAAAAATGGCCGAATTGTTGCTCAGAAGGATATTATAAAGAAACAAAAGTATATCCCCCAGGAGTCCACGACAGAGGTGAAAGGACAAATGTTTGAATAATACTGTGATTCTGTAATGCATTGTAGATTAGGGTTGCTTGGATGTAAAAATGATTAGATGCATTAATCAAATTTCATAAAAACTGGCACGTTCCATTATACGAAATTCACGTCTATGTCAAAAATAAATGTGTGTATGAAAATCAGTTAATGGATACAGTTCACTGCTCTTAATTTGTAAATAACTTTGTGTGTACAGTTTTGCATAGAAGTATCAATTAATAAACCGATCTGAACACACCAAACACACCAAAAACACACCAAAACTAACAGAGAGTTACCAGTACTCTGGATCTTTTTTTTAAAAAGTAGAGAGAGAGAGAGAGAGAGAGAGAGAGAGGGAGTGTGTGTAAGGAAGGGGGGGGGGGAAATATTAATCCTTTAAGACACGTAGCCCAAAAAACTTTTGAAATTTTTGCCAAAGAAAAGGCATGTTTGGCCAGTTTTAAACTTTGCTCTGATTAGCTATATAGAACGTTAATAGAAATAATTTACAAAAAAATATAATAATCTGTAATTTATTGCACTGTGATTTTAGCACTTAGGGTTAATACAGACGAAAAATACCGAGCTTTGACACACAGTATTTTGAACACTAGTCCATAAACACGTTATAGCATCTAACAACCGCAAGCACGTGACAAATGTCCCTGAAATTGTTGATGCGGGCAATTTGTCATACATGCTGTCATCTTAGGTGCTGATAAAAGGTCTAGACACGAGAGAATTGGATGTTTGATTTTAAAGCAACTTCATACGGCATACATATCTGCAGATTCACAATGTATTCACAAAGTATTGGGAGCATATTACTTTCAAGTAATAGAATTCATAATTACCTTTGTGTCGAAATACCTCTATTTTCTTGTCATCAGGGCTATAGCCGGGAGATTATTCGTGGTGACAACCCTTTTACCGATTTTGTTCAAAAGTAGTTGTCACATTGTGCTAGAGAGGCCGGTTTCACAATTTCGGACGTCATCGACATTGTGGTATTGTGTTAGAGAAGCAGGACGTCTTCGACATTAAAGTTTGGAAACTATTTTAATGTAGGACCGTGCGAGGGTGTGCACACGCTTGAGGTTTCCGTGCACAGTTTATTCTTTTTACATAATTTTTTTTCTTTGAATACGAGACCAAATACGAGACCACGGGAAAAAAGTAACTCTAAGAGCCATGGATTTTTTTATTCAAGTTTCTAATTTATCTTGGTTCAAAGTATGCTATACTTTTTCAACATTGCTGTCATACAGTATACCGGTATTTATCATTTAATTGTTTGAAAACTCAGAAATTAAGAGTCAAGTTAGGAGAGCAGTTTTGTAAGGTTGGGTTAAGCACAGTTTTGTCGAAATCTGTTGTTCTCCGTCGAACTGTGGCATCGGAGAAAATGGTTTAAATGTATATTAACTATAGTATTCCGTTGTTGACTCACTACTGTAAGATCAGGGACTCAACGGACAAAACGTGTACTTGAATCTAGGTACGGAATGTAGGATATCCTTAATTACAGCCGCGGTGATCACGTTAAATAGAAATGTAGTGGTTAGGTTAAAATCTACAGCCTGGCGTCGCCAACCTAATGCCCAGATTACATTTACGAGAGCGCCGTGCGATGAACTTGTCCGTATGATTTTTTTTTTTTTTTTGAAATCGTAAGGAACTACGGGCTACGCCGAGTATGTCTACATTACACGGCCTTAAATCCGTACGATTCCATGCAATTTTGCACGGCCACCGTCTACCTCCGCTCAGACGCCGTACGAAGGGTATTACGTGTAATAGGTCCTATACGTGCACCGTACTGGCATCGCATTTCAAATGTATTCTAGGTTTTAGATAGTAAAGTTATAACCTTTTTGGAAAACTCCAGGTGAACAGGTGTTTTTGTGGGCAAAATGGTTCAATAAGTTCATTTCTAGTGAGAAAAATGACCTTCGTGTATGAGCATCAATTCTGGCTCTTCGGTCTAGCATGGCAGCAATTTGTTAGCTCAATAACATGGTACCTGAACTAACCCCGAAATGTACCAGTTGCAGTAGTTACATCAGAGATGGATTCTACGTAACCCCCCTTAAAAACACAATGAAAAACATATGGCACACTAGAGTGCCTTTAATTGTTATTAATGAAACTCTAAGTAGGTCGTTTTGTCTTCAATTTTGAAAATTGTAAATTTACCGATCAAAATAATTGTTGTAGAAATAAATAGTTGGCAGATTTGTGTTCAGCATTAAATTTCGTCCCATCAAACACCTGTTATTGAAAATCCTTTTTAATCTAATGAAATATCAATGCCTTAATTTGGGATACATGTAGATGTACTGCGAGGAAATCATGTAACGTAATCTGCGTTTTCATCGAGTGTGTGAGTCTTCATTGGTTGAAGGTGTCAGGTACTGAAGGACCCATTACCTGCTTGTCCGTTTAAATAGTTGAACAAATTACAATGTGGTTAGGATTTTCACGGAGATAGAGGAAAGAATTTAACTCATTGCAGACCCAGAGAGCAAATGCTGTTATTAACCCTAGTCTTCGAAAGAGATGAACAGTTTTATCTGGGATTGGTTAGTTCTAGACCAAACAAACACGCACACACTGCGCACATGCAGACACACATGTACACGTGCGCGCTTGAGCATAAAGTAAGACAGGAACGAAGTAAAAAATAATACGAAAGCAACACAAAGAATTAGGGATTATTTAAATATCTTCTAAGTTATTTATTTGTTTATTTATTTATTTATTTATTTATTTATTTATTATAGTCTAAGAAACAGATCAGGAGGAGTATATTTGACTCTTTTTTTTTCATTTTGCACAATTTCTACTAACACAGATCACCACCCCCACTGTAAGGACCTACTGCTGTAAAGCGATTGTCTTCAATTAGTTGCACAAATTGGATTTGGAAAACCAATACAGCATGAAGGGGTTTTAATTCTTCTATTTCTTTAAACAAGTTAAATTATTGGCTTACTGCTCCGTTCTTCACATAAGGCAAATTACCAGCAGACTTGGTAAGAAGGAATAAAACCAAGGAATGAAACCGACATCAGTGATAGAAACGTTGGCCATCGACAAATAAACAGTCCGAGTTCACCTTCTCTCCATCATAGATCAGATGACGTCAAATATGTGCATAACTTCTCACTGGACAGTAAAGAAATGTGTGCATAATTATCTGTGAATATCGAGTGAAAAAAAAGCAATCTGTTGCCCTGGTAGAGGGTAAAGTTCGCTTAGGGACAGTTAGTAACCCAGATCCAGGTCAATAAATGAAGACATGTTTATATGACCAGTTGACTAGGAATAAGATAATTACCATGAAGATCCGTAGAGCAGATAAAGCCATAGGTTCATCCACCCTTGCCTGAGACCCTTGCATAGCAATATCCCGGAACAAAGAAAAGGGGGAGGAGGGCATTCATTTAAAAAAAAAAATTCGAACGAGACGAGTGCCTCGTCAGTCACAACCTAGCAACAAACAAACCGTTATTCTTAAATAGAATCACGCGTATCTTTGTTTTTGTCGTGGTAATTATATGGGGGTCACGCATGACGGGTAAGAGGCATTGAACGTTGAAAGTTGGTTACTTAAATTAAAGCGGCAGAGATATGCAGTTGAAAGTGCAACACGTATGCGGAATTATTTGATCATGGACACGTTAATGTACCTCCTGTGCAAAGGCGCATGATTATAGGAAACAGCATCAAAGTGAGTACTAGTATTGACGCTTTTACGTGACTGTTTTTTAACAATGACCGTGTAAGGTTTTCTTAGCAAGTTACGCAGCTTAGAGCTGGTTCCTTTCTAAATTTTACTTAACCGTGGATTTGATTTGGAGCTACAGGAGCTCCTTGTTAGGGAACAACTATTGTGCTTCATTTGATTGGCTTGGGGAAAATAATACATGTAACTGTATCTACTGGGATATGTACGGAGATTTACGCTGCATTAATGGATCGAAAATAGAGAGAAAAGAGAGAGACATTTTAGTTTATTTTAAATTCGAAACGAGGCTCGTTAATTTTTCGCTTAGTTATACATAGTAAGAACACAATCTACGGGTCTCGGAATGGGAGGGGGGGGGGGGGCAGAAAAGTTTTATCTTCCCTAAAATTTAACATTACCTTTTGGAGTTTAATCCAGAAATTCATTAGTGCGGCTTATTTCATTACAATTTTTGACATACATGTACGATTCCTGGACACCAAGGTACAAATAAAGTTATTGTCTTAGACCTCAGTAATAATTATAATTTTTATATATTATTTAGTCCCAAAAAATAAGAGAATGTCATAAGAGATGACGTATTCACTGTACTCTGACATCGTTGCTTTAGGAAATGTTAAACACAACATTCATCTTTTTGCTCACTTGTAAATGAGATCTCATGAATACATTGTACCTACAGATATGTTGTCCTCGCTATGCAGAGAGTGCTTATCTATGGTGAATACGAAAGATAACTCTAGAAGTTAAGAAAATAATGCTAGGTCATTTAACCTAATGATAAGCATGAGCTATTGCTACAGGTAAGATACATATATATACGACCGTAGTCAGCTGATACATGTATCTACTTTAAGTCCATTTCTTACCCCTACAGAGTGCAGCTTTAAATGCAGCTTTAAATGTCTAAAAATTTCTTTATTTTACAGTTGTATTTGTGACTCGTTTTGTGTGAATTCCGTCTGTTTACCTTAAAACTCTTAAAACTCTTTTCTTTAGTTTTTTTTCGTAGAATATACAGTACAAACAGACATTTCAATATAAATGTGTTCAGCAGTACCTAAGACTATGTGACTGACACATTTTGTCTTCCACTACACTAGAGGCCGGCTACAGTAGAAAAAAACTGTCAAGAATAAGTTGTCACAGACATACATGTATCAAGCTAAAAGATCAATCTGTGGCCCTGATAGATAGAATTTAATCCCCCGCCTCCCATGACTAGTAGTCCAGCAATGGCATGAACCACTGATTACAAAAACTCAGTTCTACTGGTACGGCCGAAATGAAATAAAATAGTGTAAGCAGTAAGGCTTTACACTGTAGTGTCTTAATATGCAGCATTCTCTTTAGCTTTTCGCCTTCTATCTAAATATATTGTCCATGGATTGCGGTATTTGATGCATATTTATGGCTTACACCTTTACTTGTTAACGTTTGGAGACGTAAAACAACATTTACATGACATTCTTTACAAGCGTGAATCGGAACTATGGCTTCACGTGTATACAAGCATAGATAACAATTTTGATTTGAATAATGTGTATGGGTGACTTTATTACATTAATATAATGACAGTTTTCTCATTGATGTATTCATATTTATTACATACCCTTTTGATTGATATGATGAATTTCATTTTCATCCCGGTTCCTTTTGAACATTTTTCAATGTTTCAAAACATAATTGTTATCGAAAATATCAAAACTCGGTTTCATGCACGGAAATCTTTTAAGAGTATGGAAATGAAAATGGGAACAACAGAAGACTTGAAATACATTGAAAGGCTTGACTGGGTGTAGCGAAATCGTCTAAGTCTATCGTCACTGTCTGCATAACTCTACTGGGAGAGGGGGGTGCTCCAATAACCTTATTACATCATTGAAAGATCCGGAATTTTGCTAGGAGCGAGGGAGAAGAGAGCAAGAGAAACGACAAATAAAACGGTACACGAGGTCAATACTTATAAAGCATGTAAGACAGAATGGTGAGATTTTGCTTCATTTTGTCTCGTTTTTCTACTAATCCTTTTTTTTTTTGGGGGGGGGGGGGAGGCTCAGAAGCTAAGGGAGGGGCGTGCCCTCGCTGTGCCCGCTCGAAAACGCACGAAAAGCCAGTATATATACTCCACAGCAGTAGATCTACTGCAATCACACTGAAAACATACCTCAAACCTGCTCCGATTTCAGGAATAAAAGAGGTGTACAGGTATTTTCCCCGCTGTAACCATGCTTTAAAAAACTCAGTAGAAATGAAGCATAATGCTCCACCGCAGTTGTTCATTAAGTACTACGTTTCTGCTCCGGTTGCAGGAGTTGTCGAAGTTTTTGAAGTATACCCTTCCCCTGACCCACCATATAGGATTGAGTGCAGGATTTCTGAACCATTAACTCATAATTTTAGTATATGGTGTGTGTTTGTGTGTTTAACGAAACTTAAATTGATAATATTCTGCATTGTAGATGTTGCCAGTCAAACCATCGTGTCTCGGACGCCTGAGGGGTGGTATGAGCAGGAATGCAGTCCTCAAAGTGATTTGCATCGGCTGCATTGTTACTGGACTTGCCAACGTAAATACCCTGTTTTCCAGTCTTTCGGGTAGGTTCTGCATTCCATAAAATACAAAAACTTATTGTCAGGTAATACGTAAAACCAGCCTGCATATATATGTGACGACAATGTTGTCGTTTTTGCCTATATCTCTATAAATGCCGTTTATCACTCTGTTACTATAGTTTGCTATCTGGCTGTCTTTTTGTCTGATTGACTTTTCTCTCCACCGCCTGTCACCTTATTAAGTGGATCCGCATTTAATCTAAACAGATGGATTTGCAATATACTATGGAATTGAATCGCAATTATTTCTGCTTATTTCTGCTGTGACTGTATCTGTTAAAATAATCTCTGCGTTGTTTCCAGCTTGACATAAAGACAATGACCTGGCCTCAGTTTTATTTATGTGGAATATCTTCATTTCAGTGACCAAAGATACCCCATTTGCAAGCAGAAAATCATTACACTTTCAAGTTGAAAGCGATGAAACGAAGATACTTCAACGTCGCAAGACAAGGGTAGAAAACCAATGCGCAGCTGCAAATAAACCGCTGCTTTCGGCGGAAAATGCAGCAATGTCTGTAAAAGGTGAGCAAGTGGAAGAAAGAGCAGCGGAACACAAATATCCCACTTGGATAGTGAACGATGAAGGAACAAGAGCGCTGTACTGTATCGTACCAAAGACTGGCTCTACAAATCTCCGCCGGATTTTCGCGGAAGTTAAAAGTCGCAAGGAGAAAAAGACGGAACTTTTTGATTGGTCAAAAATGACACCAGTGAAATCGTGGCATTTCGGATTCGATTTTCTCATGCAAAACAGCAAAAGCCGAATCGCTGAGATACTACAGAGACCGAACAGCATTAAAATTCTTAGTGTTCGTCATCCATTCGAAAGATTAATTTCTCTTTACAAAATGATATTTGAAGGAAATCGCTATGAAAACAAAACAGAAACTTTTATTCAAAAAGTGACTAATGGAGTGTCCTCCTTGATCAGACGATATTTAAACCGTCCTTATGACAAATTAAACATCACATTTCCGATGTTTATCGAGTATATAGTTTACCATGGCAAATGCGTAGAGGAAGGCAACTGTACAGTTAGCTGGTATCATGCGCACTGGAGTCCAATATGGCGGATGTGTCGTGTCTGTTCCCTAGGCTATGATCTCATAATGAGAATGGAGACTTTCGACCAGGATCTGCCCGAAATTTTCAGGCTTACGAATATTACAAAATCAACCATTTACCCTGAACAATGGAAAAGGACCAGTAAAGGGTCAATGAAGAAATATTTCTCACAGCTTTCCGATAAGTTGATCGAGGATCTAAAAGAAATGTATAAAATGGACTTTAAATTGTTTGGCTACGACTATTCTAAATCAGACGTGTTTATTGACTGAATAGACTTGTGATAATCTTAATGACCGTAATGTTAAACGACAGACACAGTAAGAGTACAAGGGCAGGCCCCTTATTTATGCTACCCCTTTAAGCTTTTTTCCATCTGCACGTTCCAAACAAAATGAGATAAGCGTGTCCCCTTTGTAAAAACTTGGAAGCTGGGGCAAATGGTCGATCGAAATCTTTAATTTAACTTTAAAAAATTAAAGAATTGCGTTTTGAGCGGAATTCATTGGTACTACTGAAAAGTGATAACACAATACAAAAATGTGTGGGATCGTCAAAAAAAATGCCAAGAAACAGAATGCGATAGGTGTGACGAAATAAGAAGTGGCGAAAATGTGCTAGGTGCGACAAAAGAGCCAGTGCAGAGATTCGGTGGATGGGAAAGGCCTAACTTACCATTATTAGGTCTCCATTACATGTGTTGCACTTGTTAATATTAGTAAAATAATAATGATTATTATAAAATTGGCATTAAACTCGATGTTCTATCCGAAACTTTGCTTTGTGGTAATACTTCCTTCATTCCCTACGTCATCAAAATCCATAATAAAAAATACAACAGAAACGTATATTGCCATCATGAGCTCTTGAAATAAACGAACGTTACTTTGGAGTGCTAGTATGTTTAAGACATGATCACATTAGATGCCATTTGTAAGAATAAATGTATTCGAAAAGATATAGAATAAAACATATAACACTATTTGACGTCGATTCCTTCCATATGCGCCAATTCAGATTATAATTCTATAATCCTTTATTCATGTGTTCACACCAGAGTTAGTTGGTGAAAATGTTCAGAGATAAATGATAAAACATAGACTGTCAGTTACACAAATCTACAAGTTATACAACTTTCAAGTATTGATCTTAGTCGTGAAAATTATCAGTGATGAACGTTACTTAGTAAATAGTTGTTTATTTACGAGTATATGTATCCAAAAATGTTACGAAATGTAGGCCCTACTGTACTACTTTTAAGTTGGAATTTTGATTTTCTAAAATCAAATTGTTTTTGAAGTTCACCTCGTCTGGATGTCGTACACTGTAAAAACAGTGCTTAGCATTTAAATACATACAACATACGTTAAGCACCTATACGCATTTAGAAATATGTGTAAAAGCTAAGCACGTATAGCTTTTCAAGCGTTTCACAGAAGAAAATGGTAGACACGTTGGCAGTGTTACACGTTTAGCTATGTGCTTAGCTTCACCGGTATATGGATCTGTAATAAGTCTATCACAAGCTCAGCACATTGGCTAAGCACTTCCCCTGCTAAGCGCGTGAGGCCGCTAAACATATGGAGCTGCTATAGGTGTGGAATTCCTAAACGCGTGGAGCTGCTGAACAATACCCTCTATCAAGGCCGCAGTTCTTGGGGACATTTTTTGCTGAGGCGACATTAGACCAAATTGACTATCTATTTATCTAGAGACATATCTGTGAAAAATCAATCTGTGTCCCTGGTAGTGGGTAGCTGAACAACAAGTTTAGCTTTTCAAGCTTCTTTCAGAAGAAATAAAAAATGTTAAACATTCTTAGAAGTGTCGCACTTTTAGCTATGTGATTAGTTTCGGCGACTAGAGCGGTGCAAATATTCGGGCTATCGGTACCGAAATGACCAGCATGTGATGAAAGCTTAAGTAAAGTATTATAATGAATACCCCACCATCATCCTGATGTTATATTGTTCATTACTTCCGGAAAAAAATAATAGATATCAATACCGTAACGCATTTTATCAAAATATGGAGAAATGTGTTTTAAAGTAAAAATGATAGTTGTTTAGTGCCTTTAGAGAACTAGTGAATTTTCCTAAACTGCTTTTCAGAAATACATTCTAATAAACTTCCTCGCAAGGTCAGCTAACACAAGGATGAATAAGTACAGCTGTAAAGGTAATAGTGGAAAGTCAACGATGTTGACAGTTCACGGTGCCCTGTTATAGAAAGATATATCTATAGCAGTTAAAGATGACCGTGAGTTCGTGTGTGTGTGCGTGCGCGTGTGTGCGACTAAAACAGTTGAAACCCTTAGCACCTAAAAGTTAAACAAATACACCCTACATTTATAAGCCGTCAAACGCGTCATACTGCTAAACACAAGCGTGTAACATGTTAAGAAGCTAAGCATGTTAGGAGCTAAACGCGTGGAAAAAGTGAGACAAAACAGGCGCTTAGAAATGTGTTTAGGAGCTAAACACTGTTTTTACAGTGTAGGACAAATTAATGTGCCTGCTAAACAGTAGTTTTTGAACAGCTGTTTCTTGTTCAAAGCTAGGTCACACGTAACCCTAACAGTTGACATCACGAAAATGTGGCATTGTTTTCGCTTACACTGGATTCCGTAGAGCTATTCCATATTGAGGCTCTAGAGACGATGACGTCACATAAAGGTGAATCTCGGGACAATTTTGACCCAAGGTACCCGTCACCCTAAATATGCCAACAGAAAAATGGGAGTAATTTCCTCGGGCTCGGCAATCAAACCGATATTAGTGTGATAAGAAATGCAAAGTATCCCAACCAGAAATTATCCCATTAAATGGGAGGGTCAGTGTTTAACAGAAATCATATTTTGGTTTTGGTTGACTTAGATGCAGATAATGTGCATTTGGCATTGTTATTATTTGACATTTGCCCTCATGAAGTGAACTGTTTAATGCGAATTTCATGCGGTGTTTGGAATCAACAGAATTCCTTGGATTCTCTCTCTCTCCCCCCCCCCCTCTCTCTCTCTCTCTCTCTCACACACACACACACACACACACACACACACACACACACACATCAACATTTACTGTTTGATTAGTCATACTTCTAAAATTTTCTGGCAAAACAAAACTGATTTCTTTTATAAAAATTACAAAATAAATATCACCATCCTCACAAAGGAAAAAACGTCTATCAGAACTAAGTAACTGTCTAATTAAGGATCATATATTTGTACAGTAGATAATACCAAATGGTTACAACAGTTCTATAAAAGATCAACTACACAACTGTCACTACCGTGTAAACAGACAAAACTGAACACAAAAACAAATGAATAGAGTGTGGTAAAGATCATTCATCAAGATAGAAATAAGCAAACAGTCCGTGCATAAAAACCATCATAGCGACCATCATCATAAAGAATGAGTGACCAAAGGGACTATCCTTTGTAATGTACATAAACAAATAAAGTATTAAAGTGATTAATCAAAGAGCGCTCGGGTAAAGGGCAAGTGGACAGGCCTAGAGTGGTAACTACTAATATATCATGTAAACAAATTAATTTAAATAAACAGTAAAAAATACCAAATAAATAAACAAATAGATAGATAAATAAATAAATACAGTGTGAATGAATTAACCAGATAATAAATAAATAAATAAATAAATAATTTTTATGAATTTATTTTACCAATAAACAAAATAAAGTAGACAAGCCGTCCTAGCAGCCCTTGCTCTTTAAATAGTGACCGGCGACCTTACACACCAAAAATATATATACAGTAGGCCTATATGTCATGAATAATAATCGAAGGGATTTTACATATATACACACACAAACACACATACACACTTATACATGTAGTTCATGCTTGTACATACTCTGATATCAGAACCATCCTCAAAAAAAAAACGACAATCTTAATCAGTGTCAAATAAGACAAAAAAGTACTTAATCAAGAGACATAAAAATAAACACATAAATATTTTGCATACAAGTATTGCCCCACTGATAAATAATAAACGACCTTGGTGCTCTTTACAGGACACACCTGTGTCTTACTGCACGAGACAGGTACGTGGTCAAAGTACAGAGGTGAAATCAAAGAGGAGAGGGGGGTGCTGTTACTGAGACATTGACTGCTGATATGAATTAAATAAAAATATTTCCCCTCCGCGTTTCGAAATAAGGAACTGGAAATAAAATGAAGACAACAGTAACAAACGGAGACATATGTGGTCTGATCTGTGACATTTTCGTCCCTAAAATCTTTGCGCTGATCAAAAACGGTCGTTCTCTCAGTCGCAGGCTGACCCCGGAACATCTTCCATCTAGATCCGCATCTGTCGTGAAGATGCCAATGCAGGCTTTGTTCGTGCCACAACACATAGCCACACCTTACACGGACCGAAGTGACGCAGGTAAACCAGAGGCATTTACGATTAAAATCTTTGGAATTCATTATGGACAATGATTTTTGTTTTATGTACAGCAGGCCTGTCCGGTTCCTGTGAATCTAGATCCGATTTTCTCACAAATTGCCGATTGAAGTGGAAAGATAAGAAGCTAAATGGCCAGCAATTTAGTCGCTTTCTGTGAACATTGCAATACAGGGTTCCTGTGTATGCGTATCATTTGACCATCGTTTCATTGCGGAGAGGGCTGATATCAATTGTTTTTGTAGGATCATTTGGCTCTTTGATCTGTGCAATTGAATTCTGGGCAGTTCGTAATAAGATCATATCTAGAATGAACGAAAGAATGAACGAAAAAACAAATAAATAAATAAATAAATAAATAAATAAATAAATAAATAAATAAATACGGGCACATATAAATAAATAGATAAAAAATATGCAATGTAATAAGATCAATAAAAAACATATTAAACGTCTAGTGTGTCACATTTGGTATTTTCCCCATATCGAGGACAATAATCTGATAAAGATAAGACTCTTTGCCTCATATGAATAATTTTCTAGAATAAATTATCGACAGGACGCAAACGGAAAAGGTCAATGTATATACATGTACATGTAGGTCCTACCATAGCCAAAATCTCTAATCCCCAATAGAAGTCTCTTCACGTAGACTCCATGTAAAGCAATCGAATCACCGATGGCTAAGAAAGTGTTACAAGTAAAAACATGGGCAAGTAAGACAGAGACAAATGAAAATGCATTTTGTTTTCTAAGACCTGCGGTGCATGATTAATACAAATCTATGCAGTTGTTTGCACGCATGGTAATCAAAATACTTAGACTAGATCGAGGAATTACGGTATTTCACAGCGAAGCATAAGTAAATTTGCTTGCATTTATGTTCTACGTGTACTGGTGATACATACGTATATATAAAAAAACAGATGGATAATAAATATCTAATGACCATGGTTATTTGAATGCATGTACATGTAGCACCATTCCTGGACTTGGTGCGTGGTGAAGATGAACAGGGTGATCAATAAAAATCAGAATGCATCGAGTAAGAATTAAAGTATGCAGGTAATTCATGGGTCAGATTAGCAAACTTATGAGTGTATATCTTGAATTAAAGCAGCTTTTTCTCCAACTAAATTTTATTTTTGATATACAGACTGTAACGAACGGAAATCTCAAATGCTATAATGTCTCATTTCCCATAATCAAATCTTTAATGTTGTCTGCAAAAATAGAGGGTTTGAGATGGACATTAATGTTTTCAGCATATTTAGCAATGCAAATCTACACACCAAGTATATGTGTAAGTGACCAAAGCAACAATGCACGGTGAGCTGTTATGAAAACCAACATGCACTAGCACATGTAGCAAAACGAAAATGGGCCAGTATCTGCGACCTGTCCTTGTACAACATGTAATACAAATCTACATGTACAGACACTCTCAAAGGGTTGTCTTTTTTATGAAAAAGTGGACCTCTCATTCGCTTTTATTGACTTTAGTTGAGAGTTGGCACAGAACCTAGGTCAAAATTGTACTTAGAGTAGAACATACCCAGCCAAAAAGACGATTTTGTCCGCCCCCTTCCAAGCTTAGTGCTACAATATTGTTACAGGCCTAAAGAATACACCGGTAGGCGCCAGCGTTTGCACAGATGCAAAGAAACCAATAGTGCTAACACTTCCCTGCAAGCAATGAAAGCTATACAGGATAAGGGTTGGAACAAGGATATTATGGACACACAGCTGTTATTATTTTTCCCTTATAAAATCAAACATTAGAAATTCGTCGGTAACCAATTCACAGCATTTAACCTCGTCACAGCCGCGTGTCGTTGAGGCCTGGATACTAAGTCTGCTGACGTCATACCTCGTGCGATGTCGGGGCAGAGTTCGTATACTCAGCTATAATATATGCCGTCCGTGACCTCTCCGTCTGGTATCTGATATGCCAGACCATATTTGGATGTGCCTTGCATTTTTTACGTTGCCTTTTATGTAGCCTTACCTGAACCCGGTACAGCTATGAATAGACCAGTCTATTTGTTTTTTAAACAGTAGTAAAGAATGACTGTTACGGATTTTGATGACGTCTTGACAAAACTACACTTTTTACTTCTTGTTTTTTATGAATTTGTTCATTTATCAACAATATGACAGTTCCTGTGGTCGAAATACAGAAAGGAAAAAAGTAAAGGCCATGATCTGAACAGATATTGGAGGTTTTATAAACAACAAATTCATTAAAACCGTAGCTTTCATACCGTACCATTCTTCGCTCACGTGTCCATTTGATCTATCAGGAAATATCATTGTTAAAACCATGTCATAAAGTTCAATTAGTGAACATGTTCTTCTAGTTTAATGTTCAAGAAGGGAAAGTCATTTTTATATTACTAGGGCTTTTTTTTTCAATTTAATATTTAGTCATACGTCCTCAAAACTCATATAACGTATCATGGACTGACTAAGATTATCTCCACGGACGCGGTTTACTGTTACTATTGGTCAGCAATAAAATCAAATGTGGTCACTTTTGAAGACATGCAGCCGTCAAAAACTGTACTTTTATCGTCCGATTCATCTATAAGTTAAGAGACCGTCAACACGGAGCAATGAAACACCCTTCACGCGGAATTACCTGGCCACGACCGCGGCACCCACCGCAATATTCTCGGCAGCGTTTACCGGCCAACACTGAGCATTTGACTTTCGTTCTTTAAAAAAAAAAAAAAAACTTAGCTCTTTGTAATTGTTATAGATTCATAGAAATAAACCTTTTCTCAAATGGCGAATCCTTAGTAAATCCATATGGTATTTTAGAGCTACATGTATATAAAAGAAATGGAAACAGGAATAAACGAAAGCCATCTTGTCCAATTGACTGTTATATTTATAAGACAACTTCCTCGATTGATTTTTGTTTGTTGAATTCTTCAGAAAATTCAAGAATTTGCTTACATGAAAAATTCAGTTTTCTGATGTAAGCAAAACAACAACAAAAAGGTAGATAGAAATAAACAAGTACATAGAAAAAATAAATTAAAATGAAGATATGTAAACAAAAAATAAATCAAAACATTAATGGAAAAGGTCAGCGCCGAACAGCAGTCGGTTGCCCTGTACAGAGCAAGCATGACTCAGCAAAAAACTAGTCCCTGATGTCTGCCACGGAGACACATTAGAATTTGTACAGTTACATCAATATATACAAACAACATCCCGTCCGATATCAATCTCAAAACAGGTGCTGGCATCCCTGTTATATTTAAAAACCACTTCTGATGAATGGAGCTGATACAGGTGTCGGCAGCAATAATTGTTTGCACAACTTAGTCATGGTGTCTTAAATCCTGGGTATGTCATGCGCAGCACGATGTTTCACGGTTGGTTGAGGCGGGGAAGGGGAGGGGGGAGGGCATGTTCACACTCGTGTAACGAGTTTGCCTTTGCATCGATTCAAATCATGTACGTTTCAAGTGATCTCATCTGATAGCAAATATATGAGAAATATAGCCCAATCACCCCAATACAATCATTTATAGTTTTTTCGTTAACTATATGCGGTGAATCCACCGTTTTGAAAGCAACCAGGGGTGTTTAAAGAGAAATCGGTTTCATTAAGATCCCTTCAAAAACAATGTGTCTGAGCCCCGTGAGATGCGCCTCTAGAGATAGGAGTGTTTAACATGAGATATGCAAGATAAACAGGTAACAGCAGGAAGCACGCGAAGTCGACCCCCTCTCTCTCTTTCTCGTTCTCTCCCCTCCAATGAAACAGCACAATGAGTCATCAGTTAAAAATACCCTGGTACCTGTGGGACCCGAAGAATATTAGTGTGAGACGTTGGGGACTGTCATTAGAAGTCCTATCGCCGGCGATCTGGGCGAACACCGAAGAAGAGAAGAACGCTTTCGAGTTTTTCTTGCTAGTTCATACTTTATCTACCTCATATTAAGACGAACACAAAGGAATCAATAGGACGTGAACTGATACTTGTATTATTGCAAATTGGACTGTGATTTTTTTCTGGACTATTTTGTTCTCATTTTCTCGTCAGTTGTCTCGGTAAAGTGACTTAGTCATCCCACAAAAGGAGACGACGAGATTCCCAAGGAAATCAAGATGGAAGGAAATCTAAGATTGCTCAGGAATATAGTGTTTCTAACTTTGTTTGCCTTGAGTGGTGTGGTGAAAGCAATACGTGACGGTAAGTTCGCAGTATATATTACGACGACTTAAAGCATATTACATATTTATTGAAAATATTACAGGGGTGGCATGGATGGAAGCATTCTTTTGAGACTTCCGAAAAAAAGTCATATATCCTCTAGTTTACTTTGACGGTCATCTATTTTTTTTTCTGTTGGGGACGGTCAAAAATGGATGATAGAAGACTCTCAGAAAATATCTCTCGATCCGCCTCTGAATAATGTGTATAGATGTATACTTAAGCCAATTACTAAAACTGATAATTTACTTATGCCATTAATTATTTTATACCTAAATATGGACCCAGCTTTGTATAATGGACTCAAGGATACATTAAAGTGGTCTTAAGATTTCGTAAAGCGCTTAATATGATTGTTTCGTAATCGTTGGTTCTGCATCTATGGGTCTACATGCTCGCATAACTTTCATTCGATTTAATGTGAAAAATAAGTAGACAATAGAATTCTTCATAAAAGTGCACGCAGCAACCGACAGGTCATATATCAAGTACAACAAGAAGCCATTTTCAACTCTTTATGGGGTTGGGTCCAATATGTAATTAGTAACTAAGAACAAGAAATTCAGCGATGCCCGTGAGATATGATTTAAAGTAACAAATTCAGTGCGGCATTGTTTAAGAGCGGAAACATTTGGTATATTACATAAAGTCACACTGTAATTACCTTTCTAATGACGATAATGGGAGCGCCTGACTCACCCTCTTCACAAAGATCTGTGTCGCATGATGTTAGATAATTACATTAACACATCAAATGATTGTATTTCACAAGATCTTTGTGAATAAGCCTTTGCTTGGGAAGATTTTATCGCATAATTTGGCTACTGCCTTAAACAAAGACGCGGGCAAGACCGACACGTTCCAACAGTGTTTCAGGTGCTTTACCTTTCATAATATATCAATGATGTTTTTCGATAGGGATGGAATGACGTTTTCCTGTTTTTCCTTCCTCTGAGTCGGAAGAGTGCGCGTTATGATAGCCATCTATGGTGAATATGAAATTATTTTTCTGGCCATAAATTACACAGTCATCAGGGTTCTCATCCCTTATTTTCTTGCCTGTTATCTCAAGTTAAAATTCGAAGAATGTTAAAGGGATTGCATGTGGGAATCCCATGTAGTGATGCAGCAAATGTTTTCTATTGAAAACAATAGAGGTCCATTGTTAAATAAATGAAAGAAAAAATGCCTCCATGTCGATCTTCACTGAGTTTTTTCTTGTATAATTTTTTATGTCTTTGGGAAGCCTCATGCGGATTTTTTTGGCTTAACAATGAGTTGGGTAAAATGTAGTGATTAAGTGTAGGCAGCCAACCGTCTAGCTCGGTACAAGATGGTAACTGTTATCTTCTTGTTTATGTACTTTTTTGCATCCACACAATTTTTTATATATTAGTAACGCCTGTTCAGGAAAAATTTCTTACCCGTGCCCATTTTTGTAAAACTCTTTTACATAACTTGCGGTAGGGAAGGTGAGACAAGATTTTGCACATGACAAGAAATCCCGGCCAATTGTTTGTTTTCCAAAATCTAAAACATTCCAATTTGTGATTTATTTACAGGCTGTTTCGTTATGCAACACCAAATCGCCATATAATTTAACATAATATAAATTATGTTTTAAACACACGAGATGTATATAATTTTCCTTCATTGTTTTATCTGTTCATGTTCCCCTCACTTCATCTTCGTCACGGAACAGAATATCGCGCCAGCCAGCTGTGGTTTTCGGTGCCCGTTTGCCCACTGTTATAGATATATCACCCAGGATTTATGACTTGGTTACAAGATCTCACAAGCCGTTCATTTTTTTTTTTTTTTTGTTTTAACCTTAATTTACCGTTGGGATATTAATGGGTGACATTCTTTTACCGACCACATAGGGCCTACCTTTATCATGAAAAATATGTGGTGTTTTGGGGCTGATGTAGAAAATGAATTTCCCGAGATTCTCAGTCAAAATAATACAATGCTACGTTTTCAAACTCTTTCTTTGGCATCTGGAGATTGAATGTGTAGTTTGACATTTTCATTGAGACATGCTTCTGCGTTCTGTCTACTTTAGGCTATAATTTTTGCTTGTTTTTTTCTTCAGGTACCTGTGGACTGTGTTTAGACATTCGCGACCAGGGCCTCAAATGTCCTGATACAGTTAGCTGTTCCATATACTTTGAGTGTAATTTCGGGAGGTGGGTCGAGAGGCGGTGCCCCAGTGGGACTTTCTTCTCCTCCGCCTCACAGGAATGTGGCTTCGTGTGCGACATTTCCCCCACCTGGTGGATAACCTCATCATCAACAACTACGACGCAATCCACAACTTCTACAACTACAACTACGACACCTACAACGACAACGACATCAACAACCACAACTACTACTCCAACCACAACAACGACAACAACCCCAACGACAACAACCACACCGACGACAACCACCAAGCCAACAACGACCACAACGACGCCAACAACAACCACAACACCAACTACAACTACAACGCCAACAACAACCACGACCAAGCCAACCACAACTACGACCAGAACGACCATATTTACTGTAACTCAAGAAACTACCGAGTCGTCTGTAAATGAGGACTTAAGCAACGATATCCCTCCTCAGACTCCTCACTTCGAGAAGAGCACAAACCCCACTCCAACCAATGAGAAGGAGTCTAAAGAGGCAGAAGATGACAGACATCTCTACATACTCATAGGTGGAGCTTTAGCTGGTGGGCTTATCTTGGTGGCCAGTTTTATCATTCTTGTCATTGTCCTGGTGCACAAAAGGAAGAGAAATAGATTGTAAGTATCAAGAGGAAGGTTTTAATTGCACATACGATAGACTTATAAACTTGAAAGAATAAACAACTTTAGCACGGTGAAAAACATATAGGGCATATCTCTGAGGTTTTGATCCCACTTCTGATACTACACTAAAACTTCTTTAATTAAAACGCTGTTTACCGAGGCTAGTTAACGCGTTTTTAATTCGTGTTTCGGTCTTAGCGCCATCTCTTGTTACTTTCGACTTCACTGAAGTTGGGAAATTGAAAATTTTGAAAATAAGCCCCTTTACCATTTGATGGCTATATTCACGTTAAAGTGGAGGGGGGTATACCGTTTTTAATAATCGACTTATAATTTATGAATGCAGTTTATGTGAATGACACTTCAGTGGCTGCATTTAATGAAACATATATATATATATACTTGGCAAACATACTTGGATTCTTGATAACAGATTTATTTGGAAATATTGTCACTAAAAGAGGACATCTGACGATTATATTTATGGTTTATCTTTTTTTAATCCACAGGCAAAGAGAAGTCAAGGCACAGAAGTATCAATATGAATCCACTCTTGGACGCTCTGGCCATGGGTATAAAGGACCTTATCTGGAGATGGACGATCGCAGCGTGGTAAGTTGTAGTCAATAGGTCAATAGCAAGATATTTTTTCGTGCGGTGGGAGATTCATATTTGGGTTATTTTTAAGAAAGACGTGTAAGATTCTTTCTAAGAAAGAGATTTTATTATTGTGCAGTTTTGTGATATATTCTGTTTGTCATATTCAATGTTTTGAATTCTTACAAGAAATAATTACCTCGCGTTTACATCTTTGTATCACATGAAAAGTAAGCGTATATCAACGAAAATGTTTTACTTAGTCATATATGTGTAATGTTAACTGTTTTCTCTGCCGTCTATGTACCGACACAGTATGTTTCAGTTTCGTTTCTGTTTCACTTTCAGATCACGATGACACCCAGCACCTTACACAGGGACATGGCCCCGTACAGAGGTCATCGCACCGGTCCCCTCCCCTCCATCTCACGTGAGGAGCCACGGTACATCCTTCACAGGAACGCTCTCAGCCGCAGTACTGACGTCCTGTACGACGATTACACTAACACTTCTGATGAGGCCGCGTCCGTGGACAGCTTGGAGATGAGAACCACCCCCAGGGGATTCCGTCCAAGATACGACGACACCCGATCTGTGTGCTCAATGGCCTCTAGCCGTCCCGGCGGAAGGGGACCCCGTTACATGGATAGAAGAAACCCCCAACCTCACTACAACGGATACGATGCCGGGTATTACAGAGCCACGCAGAGTCTCCAGAGGAACGTCCATAACCCGGAGAGATACCCCAACGGCCCAAGTCGCGGAAATTCTCCAATGTTCTCGCCTGTGTTTGAGAGTGGTCTCGCAACCATGCCACGTGAAGAAGTGAGGAAACCGAAAAGACAAAGACAAAGGAAGCCACGTGACAGCGGCCCACATGACATGTTTGTGTTCAGCGAAGACTGCGTCAGTGTTGCCAGCACCCTCGATCTGACGGAGCCCCAGACTGAGAACAAGCAGTTCACTTCGGCAATCACTCTCCCAGAATGAGCAGCTAATATAGGGAAGGACTGAGCAAGTAGTTCACAGCTGAGAGAGTAGGCCTACCGACCTCCGGAAAGTGCCGAAAACAGCCGGAGAATGTGAATAAATGGCCCGGGAAACACAAAGAATGTCTCGGAATGGAGATTTTGTTGCTCTGGAACAAGTAACAAGAGTTGGAATATTTTCAACTTGAATTTGCATTCCCACTTGTGGCCGTCCTAGCGCCGGGCCTTATGCCTCTTCACACATTTGAACATTAAATGAAAAAGTAACGTTTTCGAGAACTGAGAACGAAAAATATTTAATGTCTGTCATTCTACACAATGGGACCGAGACAAATGGGCATACATATCTGAAAGTTCAGAAGTTAACGGTTGAATAATTACGTCTGTTAAATGCAGACATGTATATAGTGATCATGACTTTTTAGTAGCAGTAGAATTAACGTATTCGAGACAATGAGCGCATTTTGGTTGGCATTTGGTAAAACGGATCCAGCCTTATTTGGCTAGAAATGCACATACCTTGCTGCCTTTGTCATATATCACACGTCCTGCCTACATGCTTGGCATTTGTGTGTCGCGAGTGAAGCTGTGCTAAATCACAAGTTCAAGCCAACTGTCGTTTTGCATTTATATATCTATATATCGTCATCTAAACCATTATCATTCAATTTACTATCTTTCAGGAATAAATATGTATCTACTTGTATATAAAAACTGAAGTTGTTTTGTGCCTTACACTTTGTGTACGATTCTTTTTTTTTTTTTTTTTGTGCGTTTATTGAAGGTAAAAGTAGCGCTGGTCAGACAAACGTGTGCAAAACACAAGGATAGGCAGAAATTCATGTTGAATGATCACGTGCAAGAAACGTGAACACAAATTTAATTGTAACTTTCACGTGCGTGGGGGGTATTAAGAATCGTGTGTTGTCAGGGTTATGTTCAGAAGAATTTTAATTTGGCTGAGGAGCATTTAATAGTTAACGACAATATATGGGTTAGATATTTGCCGTCCTATTTGTAAACAACACGCGCACACGTAGCTTTATTCCGTTCTATTCCAAAAGCACACACGTGTTCTTCTTTGTTTTGACTTTGTTTGTGAGCGCGCGAGCGCGAGCGTGTGAGAGAGAGAGAGAGAAAGAGAGAGAGATTAGTTTCTCATGTATCATGTAAAAGAGCCAAATCTATCTTGTCACAATTGACTTGTATTCTGGCCCTACTATTATGGAGAATACCAAAATGGCAAAGATAACCATTAATTTGTCGGCTAAATTATGTTAATGGTGATATACTCGTAGACACGCCTGTGATTTGTACGATGATTAGGTGTCTGCGTGGCTGGGTTTAAATCGGCTCACTGCGTTCCTCTGCAGACAACTCTGACACCGGCAAAAGATTATCTAAGGGGCGGTTCATGTGCATCTTTACCGTTCTAAGTCTTTTTGATGTGGTGGAAATTCTATTCTCTCCCTCACGTTTTCACCAACTTTGCACAAACTCAGTATTTGCAAAAAAAGGGACTGACATAACATTCACGCTTCCATTTCACAATTCAGTGACCTAAACAGATCCCACCCTTATCAGGCAATAAGAAAAAGGCGCTTTGCAATACCTTATAAAAAGACTATGCCATAAAAACGACCGCTTGTTGTACTACTGTTTTCTAACAATTTATAGATAAGTTAAAACGGCAAATCCCCATGTGTATTGGTAAAATATCTAGATCGAAATTTAACTAAGACACATTCGCAGAGCAGCAAATGCAGAGTGGAATGTGAACGAAGCGCATAGCTATCGGCAGTGGTCACACCAAACTGACCACAACTGACCACAACAGGACGGTGCAACGGCCACATCTGATCCCCCCTTGCATGACAGTCCTCGTTAAGACTGAAAGAAGAACAAAGGAAAGGTTGTCTAGATCAGTAACAAAATATTTTAATCTTTGGTGGAGTAACTTTAATGCGCCATAATTTGCAGGCTCTTTAACCAATTTAATAAGTTTACTTAAACACCTTTAGCGAAACATTTGGTTGATTTGTGCAAAAAAAAAAAAAAATGCCGACTCCGGCCAGGCACGAGCATAAGCAGCAAATATATAATCAATCACGCTATGGCTTCCACCAAAGGTAAATGGGGACTGTGATCTTACGTAAGCCTACTACATGTAATAATGTTAGCCGACTAAGCTGCACATCACAAATAATTGAAAAGACAACTAGCCTCTACTTTCCCGTCCAAAAACAAGACTAAGCTAAGCCTGAAGTTCTTCATACCGTCTGCTACTTACTGTGGTGACCTCAGAAAATTTAGGCACGTCTCTTTTATTTTTCGGGAGAATATAGTTCATCAAACGCTCTTAGCATTCGCGATTAACTGAATTTATTTTGAAGCAATATAAATAAAAAATGTACTTAAGACGGAAGATAACAGCCGATTTTTTAATTAAAACTAAAACAAACACATGATGCGACACCATGCACGTTGTACGTAGAAATCAAGTTATAAATATGTTTCTCTCCATTAAAATACACATCTGCGTGCATATTTTGCTCACGTGGCCAGTCTGGCAAATTCATTATTTGGCGACCGTTTGATTTTTTTCCATTTTAAATAAAATTTTGAGAGTATGCCTCCACAATGTCCACAAACGTGCTAATGAACTACCATGTACATTCAATGACAATATAGTAGAAAACTTTATTTGGAGAGAGAATTTTGTCATCAGCAGTGCTGACCAATAGCTAATTGCACAATACAATCACAGAACTATATGATTTTCGTCACTATGTCATGGACTTCAGCAAACATTTGGAGATGCCCAGAACGTATATTTTGTCTAAAAAGATAGCACCTAGAAAAACGGTCACAAGTATTAATACAGCCATGTATGTTGTACCGTCTACCACTCTACCAGGGCGACAGATTGATTTTTCACAGATGTTCACAGATATGTCTCTAGATAAATAGACAGTCATTTGGCTCTGTGTGGATTTTTCCATTTTTCCCTATATAATCTGCCGCGCTGGTAGAGGGTATGTATGTTGAAGGTTGACAATATTTAAAATGAGTTTACTTTGTAGAGCATTGTATTGAAGTTTTGTGCACCTGACCAGGGATAACCTGGAAATATCCCTTAAAGTAGACCCATTTAAGGGGTCTCGATCCTTAGAAAACCTCAAAAGCTATAAAGTATTTACATATAGGCCTACATGTAGTTCGAATATAAATTATATATATGTAAAACAGAAGCAATTATATATATGGTAAGAAGCCCTGCTTGGCTTATTGATAATTACGCTATATACAGAAACGTTTGTTTCTTTGTCTTTCTTAATGTGGAATGCTAAATGGAGAATTTGAAATACTGCACCTCCGCCACTGTTCTGGTGACCTAGTTCGGAGACGATTATTTATAGATTAACGACACTTGCAAATTTTTGGCAAATGTTTTTCTAGCACTGTCAATGGACTCCAGACCACAGAAAATAAATATTCTGAGTATAAAATGAAATATTATTACAGAACTTTTGTGGTTCTGACTTCAGATTAATGCCACTCGATGATTGAATAAAAAAATGCAATGTAATCCTATAAAGTTCACTTTTAAATGATACTAACAAATTTTCGTGATATCACATGAAGTCCGAATAACCAACAAGTCAAAATATATAACATATATACAGTGCACTGAACATGTTTTCAAATATGCACAGCCATCTACACCGTGGTTTCCGAGAATGGACGAGCTCCTTCAACTCCAGCTCTCGACTGACCGTCACTGGAAGTTGGCGCCATTGCCGCATATTGCTCACGAGGGGGTGGCGCCTGGTCCGTTTCAGCATCACGTGGAAGTGGTAACGTCACTGACGACGTCATGTCATTTTCAGCAAGTTCTCTCAGCTCCTGCATAGAACTGTATCTACTTCGTCTCTCCTGCGCCGTTGGGGTGCACACCTGTAGATTCTGCATGGATTCCGTGTACGGCGGGGGTGCTATAAACTCGTCAGGCTGATAGCCTTCATTACCTTTCCCCGAGTACGGAGGTGGAGGCTGCTTGTATGTAAACTGCAGATCTTCGTACCTCGGCAGGCCATACAGTTCCGAGTTGCCTGAAAATGGCAGAAATAGGTAAAGCTGTTGATTTCAAGGTTAAATTAAGTCTACTTCTTTTTAGCAAGTTCATTTTCATAGTAAAAGTATGCAGGGACAGAAAAAAATCTAAACAATCCTCTGAGTTTAAAAACACCCTATATATTGTCACTTTACAAGGTTAACCTAAATTACCCAATGAAACTTGAACGCCTTCTGATGTTCCCGCCGCGCGCATGCACCGTCGTTGCCAAGAAGCCCGCACGCGCTGACACTCCCCTCTCCTCACCGTTCCCACGACAACCACTATAGCAACCAGCAAAATGACACTGCCGATAACTATTCCTGATATCCCACCCGCAGTGATGGCCAGAGCTATACAATTTAGCAAGAAAAAATGAAATAAATATTAAATAATGTTCAACGAATAAATTATTCTTTCAGATACATTTTGTAGAAATCCAACAACAGTTTTTATTAAAAAGGGTGACAAAATTTATACTTCATAATAAGTTTGTTATAATATATTTCATGCTTGTTCGATACTTACGGGAAGGTCTTTGAGTGACCATGGCCCGCGTGGGTTTCATGGGAGCCTGGACGTGTTTAATGTTGAACGTGAAGTCGTAGTCGGCTTTGGACTCCGGCTTCAACAGCAGAGTGAGCTCTCCGTGGGAATACAGCTCACTGGGCGGAATTGACATGCATTGGAGGACCGTCTTTAAAAAAGAGAAAAAAACTACCTTGAAAAGTTGAGATTTGTGAGTGCTCTGTCGTTTGAACTTAGATACTAAGAGGTCATGAGCAAGAAAATAGGGAGTATTCAAACAGGATAAGCTACTGAGCTATCACGAGGTGTCATATTCATATTTTGCCTTGACAAAAGATCATTTAGTTACATCAACATTGGTCCTGTTCTATAAAGTCACCTTAGAGCTATTATTGTTTGAGTAGAGGATCAGTTTTGAAAACTGCTGCTCCATCCACAGTGAACATCCTTGGCCAGGAAAATGCACACTGCTGGGAAATTGAACCCAGAAAATGGAATACGAGTCGGTGTGACCATTGCCTATGAATCGCATTGCACATGCGCCGCCGCCTACTCGCCCCTCGTGACTCCACGCTCGGATTTGTATCTCTTTTCCCGTGTCCAGCACGTGGGTTTTGTTACAGTTGTCGCCGTAACCGTCCATGTAATCTGGATAATTAAATTTAATATTAAATTGAATAAAATTGCCTTAATATTTATCATGAACATCCGGTAGAGGACGTTGTAGGCCTATTGCTAGTACTTTACGATACAATGCAATATACGTGCAGGGATGCTTATTATTTTTATTTATATTGATTGATAAGATCGTAGCTTGCAAATTGGGATGCGTAAAAGTTTTCCTAAAAACTGGGAAATGGTTGCTCATAATTAGGCATGAATTCATACATCCACTAATAGGGTAGGCCTACTGCCACCATGTGTCACGCTACACACCAAATAATTGTGACTGTCAAAAGTTGATAGTACATTGTGTTAGAGGAGACGGAGCATTGTGTCCTGTCCCTCTGGTGGCGGAGACGAATTAACCAAGTGCTGCCTCTATATATGGGATTGGAGGGAGTCGCGTTGTTTATGTAAAATTGTAAATAACAAAAAAGAGAACAGGATTTGAGTTTTCTTTTGACTCTGTAACGTGACTTACAAATGGAAATGCCTTCATCAGTTTCAATGGGAGAGACGGTGACCACAGTTTGCGTTTGTTTGACGGTGAGTTCCAGGTTGAAATCGATGCTGTTCTGCGTCCTCGTCAGGGAAAGTTTCAGGTAAGGCTGTGACGACACGATCTCCTGATGTCTCTGGGCTGAACTGTTACACCTCTGAGACCCAAGTCGCATCTGGCGGGAAATAAACCGTTGAAATCAACAAACACGTGTCTTATGATTGAAACAGTTATTGACATCAATGAATTCTATTTCCACCGACATGTTAAGGTGACAGTACACAAATACCTTATTTTATGATGAACATCATACGCTGCTTAAAGCAGTTAAAAATTAAGCGTACACAATGTAAATATAAAAAAGGTTAAAAAAATATCGAAAGACTATTTTACGCACACAGGACATAGGTTGGACTCTTAAGTTTTTTATTTCACCAACATCTTCAAGATTTCAGTTTTTAAGTAGCATTTACTAATGTTTACCCTACCTTTGCATTTACAGAGTTAATGGAGTCATATACGAAAAGAGTCGCGGCGCTTGTACACGGGATGTCAACCTCTGAAGTGGTCGCCTTTAGCTTCCCCCTGCCTGCGTACAACGCACTAGAGCGCATGCGCACGTTACAGGCGTATGGGGCTATCCTGCGCACGTTTGGATCGTCCTGGCCCCAGGCTTTTATAACGATAACCGTATCAGGGTCCACTTCGAAAGTTCTACCACAATCACTGGTAAAGTCGTCCAGATATACTGAAAGAAAATGTTAAAGGTGAGGTAGGTGTTAAAAGGTTTGTTAGGACTTACATACATCACACAGTAATACACATATTGGCTTAATAAATTATTATTATTTTTATTATTATATAAATTTCTAATTCAAATACTATGAAATTTTTTAAACAATACTTAAAAAAAGAGTATTCCTCTTAACATGTGTAAATTAACTGTCAGAATGACAACAAATACAAGGGTATTTGTGCCCTATAAATTCAATATTATTAATTCACTGTCGCCAATGTGTGCTTAAAATAATTCTTTATTAGAGCAATTAATAAGCTCCAATTATCTGCAATCTCCAGATTTTGAAAAATATTCAACATTTCACTCAGAATCTCTCACCTGTGACGTGACTGATGGCAGGCGGGGGTAGCAAGGGGTCAGGTCGTGCAACCCCCCTCATCTCAATAGCGAAGTGAAAATCAGCACCCGGCAGAGTACTTAGGACAAATGTCAACTGTCTGTCTGTGCTGAACACGTATTTCTGAGTGAACGCATGGTAATTCTCACAGGTAACTCGATACTGAAAAAAAAAAACATGCAGGGCATTTTAAACGGTACATTGCGAGCATATAAGGCAGAATGGGTGTTTTAAAATAATGTGCATGTGGCTAAAGGATTGAACCTAGTAATTACAGTGTACTTTGTGTCGATCTAGAGTGTAAACGTTTTGGTTTCCACTTCACGTGCTGTTAAAATCATTATAATTACATGCATTTCCACTTTTCTGTCATTTGTTTTATTCCTTGTTACCATAGTAATGGTACCTTATTCGGGAGAAAATGGACAGTAGATTAATGCCTTAGCTTTGCCTTTACTTTCTTATCCTGCATCGCCCAAATTGAAGACTTCCTCCTATTTTGCTTCAAAGTGAATAAATTAGTTTATAAATAAATTTATAAATAAATGATTAATTAATAAAAACTCTTACCAGTAGAGAGACTCCCTCTGTTCGAACAGGGACAGTTCTTTCTGCATACACACTTAATACGGTGTTACACGAAGAAATCCGAAATCTGGCGAAAAATACTCGAATCACTTGAGTGACGTCACTGGTCTGGAACGTCATTAAACAGAAATGAATTTTTGTCTGGTTTCGCGGCAGGCGGAAAGCGTTTCCTACTAGAGTGGTACTGGCGCTTGAGTAGACGGGCAGTGTGTATGGTCTTTGGCACTGTCTTTCGGTATTGTCCATAAAATCTACAATTTAAGAAGGTATTTACAATGAAAAAGTCAAGATCATAAGGGTGTGCCAAAATATACGATTTCGAATTTGAGTTTGTTGAAACTGTTTTCAGCTTAAAACTTAGAGGAAGACACATCAATCTGATAAGCTGTATAAAAAATCAACTATGAATGACTCGGAAACTAAGAAAAAGGCAATCCGTTAATTAACATAATTAATCCATTTCTGACTATATCAGTTCGCTTACAGGTCATGCTATCTCCTGGAGTGGGCGTGACCCCCCAGATAGGGGGCGCCGATACGATATACACGGGGGCCACCGTGAACAGGAAGTCAAATGTATCATCCCCATTGGCGTTTAGAACGACGGTCAAACTAGAGCCAAGGCTAGTGGTGGTCAGTGGAAGAGCAGAATTTAGACACGTGACTGATCTCAGCTGAAATGAGAAAAGTTGTCTTGTTCTTGTGTGAAAATACATAGATGGTTTCAGTTTTGTGTGAAGTAAAGCCCTGGACTTAAAATAATAATTATTTTATTTAGCTTATTTACAGCAGATATTTTTTCTCTTAAAAGTACTAGTAAAATATAAAATCATAAAGATTTAAGATGTGAAAATAAACTTTTTAAGCCATAAATATATTAAAAAAGGAAGTTAACCAAAAAGCTAAGTTAAAACGAGGACCAGAGAACCAAATTGAGAAGAAAATGATATCGTGTACTTGTTTCAAAACGCCCAGACGGTTTCAGTTTTCTATATACGAAACAAAACACTGCTTTTAACACGTGAAAAAATATGAATTCAAAATATATATAAAATTATAAAATGACATTCTGCATTGTTTCTTTCTTAAAACATTTTCATCATATAAGTACTCCATTTTTCTTCTACTTTACTCTTCCGTAAGATCAAACTGTGCCCGTAACCCTAAGATTTGTTCCAGCGTTTCAAATTATCCTACAATGTATTAGACAACATACTGATACTACATTTAAAACATTTTGTTTAAATATGCTTTGCCGCGTGTACCTGGGGATTAAATTTCGTTAGTCCATCATAGAACTTAATAGAAGACGTGCAGGATCCCATACTCAGCTTCTGAAAGGCCACTTCCAGTCTTCTGGGGTCAGCGTTCCGGAACGTAATGCTGCACGTGCCCTCGTGATTTGCTTGGTTTCTTGACACCTTCCAAGCGTGCACGAATTCCACTTGAGTTGAGCCAACATCGATGATTTTCCCACAGTCGTGTGAGGTATTGTCCATATAGCGGTTGTACACTGAAAGGATACGTATCTTTGACATCAGGCTTTTACAAATTCAACTGGTATATCGGTCATCGACGCATCGATTCAGTTTTGTATTTGTTTTATTTATTAATTTTATGTGTTTATTTTGAGTCGACTTTTTGGTCAAAGCGGCAGAAAGTCAATTCACGTAAGAAGTTCAATGCTTATTTCTGCAGAGATACGGTAGCATTACCAAGTGCCACACCTGACAAACTGCTCTCAGAAGGACGAGGCAGAGACAGGAGAAGGGAGTTCATTACAGAATTGATCATTCAGCCTTCAGGCCATATTGAGTCGTGACAAGATTGCTGATACATGTAGGACATGGATATTTCGACAGAGTTAATGAAATAAAAACTGAATGTGCTTGACAAAAAGAAGTTTTAATTTGCTGACAGTGCCATAGCGTGTAAAAAACGAATTGAAGTACACTTAATACTTTTGGGAACAATGGGAGACTAATGCTTACGATATGTGCTATTAATCAACTGCCAAGGTTAAAAAAAGCCTGTTGTCACTCTTAATACACTAACAATGCAAAAAAGAATATCAGGCATTTAATGGCCTTTTGTTGAAATGAAGAAAGAATTAGTTTGAATATTGAAAGCGCAAATTTTACCAAAACGCAACGTGAGAGAGGGACTAAGTCTACGAATACAGAAAAAAATCAGCTAGATCGCATTTTCCTGAGCTGTAACTTACCCGAGGTCCTGGATACAGTCAGGTCAAAATTATAGTCCACAGAACCGCGCCGACTCAGACCAATCGTGAAATAGCGAGATCTCGTGAAAACATCCGTTATCTCACCGCGGTGCTGCCGATCAAAACGTCGCTGAAGTGAAACGAAGGCCCATATTACGTTGTAATAAAAAGTCTGTTCCATATGATTATGATAAATATCTAAACCTTCTCATATACATTGTTAAAGCAATATTAATGTTCATTACACATCAAACCATATAACAACTTGTAAAAATAATACAAACATGAAACGCAACTCCCCATCTACTGTTGCGCGATAATGATAATGATTATAATGATAACAGTAATACTTTTGATAATAATAACAATAATGAGAAGCACCGTCGATACTTTTCGGTCTAAATCAATTTTTGACACAGCATAATTGCAACACCGTCTCACCTAAAATTGTTGCTGGTAACTTACCAATTCATCGCTATCAAACGGGTGTTCTTTGAAGACGATCTCGGACACAAGGTACGACTCATTGATGGGCAATTCTAAGTTTACAATGCGCACCCTCAATCCGTACCCAGTTTCTGCGGACGATGAATGTCCTCCGGACGCTTGGAAGATCAGCGTACATCTGTACGGGGCGTTAATGGACTTTGCGCGAGATGACCACGCCTTGACCACCAGTGTGTCGCGTTCGTACACGGGAATTTCGCCGATAAGATTCCTGGTGTTGCAGCCGTTGAAGAAACTCTCAGAATCCATATAATCTGAAAGATACGATATTGTTTATGTATCATATGGGTATGATTTATGCATAGTTTTTCTCCATTTTAATCTAAGAAGACATTAGCTTTTTATTTAGCTATTGATTTAGATAAAGATAAATTAATTCATATTAGATAATAATAATAATAATAATAATAATAATAATAATAATTATAATTGCGAAATTAGTAATTATACACTGTTGTCTTTGCCAATTCATTTTAGGTGAGTTTGGTTGCTCCCTTCAGCCCCCTCTCTCTCTCTCTCTCTCTCTCTCTGCACTTTGATCAGCCAGATAACACACAGTTGTTCAAGGAGCAAATGTACGCAAAGTTCGATCAGAAGTCTAATATGCACTACATTTACACCAATTTCTGTCGCATGAAGACCCAATTAATTACTTCTAGATTATTTTTGTTTTCTTAGTCAAGTGTATACACATTAACTTACATATATCGTCTGTGGCCCGTGAGCGCGGTATCACGAGGCACCACACTAAACTAATACTCAGAACTTGAAGCCAGAAAGACCTCGCAGCTGCCATCATGGTCACTGGGTACACAGGGGTGTCACGGAGGCATGGTTGTCTCGCGGGTCTGCGCTGGGACATATATAAGTGGAACGCTACATTTTCTGACCTCTTGCTAGAAAAGAAGAAGAATGTGGAATTTAACGTAATTATTCTGGCGAAATTAGAAGGTTGTAATACCAATATAATCTATGTCGGTCTGATGTATACAATACGGTATACTGTGCATGTACATAACAAGTCTATCAGATTTTATGATGTAATTGACGTTAATTTAAAGGAAATATCCATCCAATATTCATTGAGTGGGCGACTCAGACTACATGTCTCTGAACTATATAGCTGATATTTCATTATAACATTCTAAAATCACCCATGCTGGAAAGCATGACAACTTCAAAGCAATTCATAAATATCCACCAAAAAAAACTTTGGATTGATACTATGTCTCATAACAAGGTCGGGATTATAGTTGTCCTGTCCGCTTTAAATAAACAGTGTCATTATCTGGGACACCTTTTATGCTGAGTGGCTGCCGTTTTCAATAAGGATTCTAAGTATATTTTCAAAAAACATTTTCCAGATTTTGCTATGAATTTGGAGTGAACTTTTATAGCCTTACCGTGAATGGGGGAGAGGGGGGGGGGGTATCCACTGATTTACACGGAGAACCACCACGCCTGTTGTGAAGTCATTTAACCCCCTACTGCCGTTTATCAACCGTGAATGAATCTAAAGGGCACTTAGAAACTAGATCACTAGCCAGATTAGTGTATGCCACTAACCCAGCATGGAAATTAATAAAAGTTGATACAGTAAATACATATAATTAGAAAAAAATACTCAGGTGCAAGCAGTACCATTAATTTACCGCAAAATATTTCGCTGTTCAAGCTATAGGTCTGTACTGCAGTCGGTCCTGGGACGAATCAGTGAGCAGTGAGACTACAACAAAAGTGTGAGTCATGCTTTACCTATTTATATTCAACGCACGGTGACTAAACCGCGTTGTATTACATCACTTAATGTTAATATATCACCTACTACTAGCACACTCAACACGTCTTCACGCCTGATGTCTTTTTTGCCAGTCGTCTGTCTTTTAACCAGGTACATTTGACACCTGTAACCAACCTTAATAGCGTCTGCCACAGGTACTGGTACAGGGGCTTACAAAACACACTGTGCTCTTTAAGCTCATTGTCAAACACGCAATCGCTTTAAATAGTGCGTCGAGCCTGTCCAGTTGCAGGTATATACCGCACAGACCAAGAATTGTAAAAGCAGTGCGGTTCATTGAACTGAGTCAATAGTCAATAGTCGCCCGTTTTAACAGTACCTAATTATATGTTTACGACGCTTATCTAAGACGGGGAGCTTGCAGATACGGGCCGTTGACCGTCTTTGATAAGAGTGGCATCGACTTAACGGTTAACGTAGACTACAGCATGTATAGTTCGTGTCACACGAATGTCTCCGATACTGTCATTTAATTAAGTCTTCTTTTTGCTAAAAACTCACCGTCTAAAACATAAATGTTATTTGTAATGCCAGTTAGCCTGGATTACTGGCATTATATGTCCACCGTTAGCCAGTAGTTCTCGTTAAATCATAGTGTTCGATAGTGAGATTGCGACGCTTACGAAGCAGCACACCTGACCTGACCTAGTTAAGTGGGATGTCAGGTGTTTACCAACACAGTTAACTGTGGCAATAGATGGCACTGGAGGGAATAGTGTCAAGACGGCCAGTTCGTCTTTCATTTAAGACGCCTGGGTTTTCCATGTTAAAATTTGATTATAATTATCTCAAAACTCATAATAGTGATAGTTATTTCATAGTCCTTGATGAATAGAGAGATTTACTATAATGTGACATACAGGTAGGTACGTGGTAGGTCGCTTTTATCATTACCAGTTTCATTACCTATTAGTATCCTCCTGTAGGGCCTCATATTTAAACATATTAAAGGGAGAACACTGCCCGTTTTGGCCAAAAATGGAATTTCCACGGGTAAACAACGATTTATAAATCCACTCCGACATTCAAAGTTAATCCATTTTTTTTTCTCAAAAATTGTTTTAAAATGTAATAATCTCTTAAGGGTTAGTCCAGAAGGGATTATTATGGAGGTATAGCAAATTACATGTTTGAAGATTCACGTGTTCTGATGGCAAGAAAAGATTGCCATACGAATTGCCATAACCGCTGTTTTGGTTAAGTTAATTGTTTGCAATGCATACTGTGAAATATGAATCTCATACAAACAGTTGTTATTCCTTTGATACTGTGTACTTTTTCCACCGTGTCATAAATTAGCCAGAGGTAGATATGTGAATATCTTTTCAAAATCAATCTGTGACCCTTGTAGAGGGTCATATATTCATTATCCCAAGGTTTACTTCAGTAGATGGATGTTTTTGTAGCAATCCTATCTGTAAGCCCGCTAACCGTCTCAATCAACTACGGGGCATTTAACACCGAACTCTATTCTCACTAAATTGCTATCAACTTCAGCGTTAAAAATGTCTGTCGCGCTTACTAAAGCTGTTTGGGGGTAATTAACTACCGGAGGCCGAGCGTGCACGAAATTTTATTACCCCCTAGTTGATTAGTAGGCGTGACAGCCGCTTAAGACTGGGTTCCCATACTTAGATCGATCCATCTGGATCGACCTAACTCCCTGGGGATTCACGCTAAATTGCTATCAGCCCAAGAGGTTTAAATGTCTCTCACGCCTACCGAATCATCTAGGGTAAATTACCCCCTAGGGATAATTACCCCCTAACAGCTTTTTCAGGCGTGACAGACATTTAAGCCGGCCAAGTTGACAGCAATTTAGTGAGACTCCCCAGGGAGTAGGAGTGGTCTCTAAGTTGATAGCAATGTAGAGTGGAACCCCATGGAGTTAGACCGATCCTGTTGGATCGATCTAGGGATGGGAGCTCAGGGAACCTAGTGTTATTGACAATATAAAGCCTCGGTCACAACCAGCCGTACGGGCAAGTGTGGAAATAAGACTTTCACACGGAATACAGTATATAAAGAGATTCTGTAAATCATGTATACAAATCTCTTCTCATGGTTCAGTGATGGTTCAGTTGATGTGACGGGTCTCATTCAATCATTTAAATGACAGCGAGAATCTGTTTGAATCATTTGTGGCAGATGGGGGTATATAACGCATCATGTATCTGACTTACTTTAAACATTTAAGGCACTAGATCACTGTGAACAACAGTCTATTTACATAAGTAAGATTATAGGTGTGACAGAACATTCAGAATATCCAGAATCACTCAGATCATCACTGATGAGACATAAGTTATAGTTTTCAATCTTGTGTCCCGACAGGGTTTGCAAATAGGATAAGGTAGAGTAAAAAAACGTTCAAACGTAGCAGCAGAAGTACAGGAATACTTCAAGTGAAAATTGACAACATTAATTAATGCTATTTGTGAAAAATGGGAAAATTTGTTTGTACTCGCCACACTTATTATGGTATAAGTCTTGTAATCGTTGGCATTGTTATATACACCGGCTGGATTTGGATGGAATATCGGAATAGAAGCATTAACCGCGTATTGCATAAACCTCCATCTTTTTGGAGAAAAAAAGAACCTGGCAGGAATCAGTTCAAGGATGAAATGATCCAGAAGTATCGAGAGAGTGATCTTACGGATGAAAACAGCTGGATAAGAAATGGTATCGCTGAAAAGGAACAACTAAAACGTGCCTGGTCGAGTATTAACCCTAATGACAAAAGTAAACGTTGCTTCACAAACAAGAGTGCGAAATACAACTACAGGACTAACGTGGTAATGTCTAACTCTCATATTATGTACATCATTATAGAAGAAAGAAAAGTGGACTCGACAGGAAAGACTGTGTTGTCGGCCGGGGGAAGTAATTTCCGAATTGAGGTAATAGGAAATGATTACATGGTGTGTCCTGTGAGAGATTTCTTTAATGGAACCTACGTGGCTTATTGTGATGTTCAGTATAGTATACAGGGTACAGTATACTTAGACTACACGGACTTTGAAGCGTATAGACACCATGCTACTGGACGAAAGAAAGCATATCCATGTAGAATCCACAGAAATATTTCTTCGTTTTATTATGTTTACCCCGAGAATTCAAAGACAAAGAAGATAAGAACAGAGAGCAGAAACTGCCATAAGACAAACATCAAAGATTACCTGAATGGACGCTGGTGGAATATTCGAGGACAGTGGAAATGGGGAACTAAAAACGGGTGCATTTTTGAGTTTATGAGTGAGGCAGACCTTTGGAAATGTTACAAGAGGAAAACTACTTTCAGAATCCTTGGAGATTCACACCTTAGGCACACTAGTAATTACATGAGTCAACTATTATCAAAGTATTGGCATATTCCACAGTATTCATTGCTTATAAATACTGGTCAAAATTCCACTGATCCTGTAGAGGATCGAAAGAAGATTGTAGGTTTGAGCCAAATCGTATTCAAATGGACTCCCCATGCTGCCCATTGCGAAAATCTTCTCAAATCAATTTTCTCTCGATTTGAGAAAACTCCTGCCACCAAAGATGATGTAGTTTTAATGGGGTTCGGCATTCACGAAATGGTGCTTGCAAACCAGAGTGCCTACAAATTTGTAAAACATGCTTTTCCTCGTTTTGTGAACTTCTTACGAGATTTGCGTAGAAACCCCAACACTGCTAACATCCGCCTAATTTATCTGAATATTCTCCCTAGAGGTAAAGGCCAGATGGACGGGAATGATTACATGGTTGCGGCGGTCAATGAAATCACCAAAGAGAAGCTGGTAAAATACGGTGTAGAAATAATAGATGGTTTTTATATTCTCAACCCAATGAAATGGGCCCACTGTGACGAAGCACATTTTCTATGTCCAGTAAGGAATAACCCAAACAAATATAAAGGACATACTGGAATGACAATGGCCCACCTTTTGTTCAGGACTATGTGCGAAATGTAGCGTGTTAGGGTGCTATCCCCGTGGGGAGTCTCACTAGATTACTGTCAGATAATCCGGCTTAAATGTCCGTCCCGCCTACTACAAGCTGTAAGGGGGTAATTAACTTCCGTGCGCGGTCGGCTGACTGCATCTTAGCGTGAACCCCCAGGGAGTTAGGTCCATCTAGTAAGATCGATCTAAATCTCATGAAATGCCCTCATAGACGCCTAGAATAGTCTAGTGGGAACATAGGGTTCATGTGCAACATCCTTAACAAACAATGGGGAACAATTTTTTCCAAAACCTTGATCTTCACATTTTTTAGGTTCTAGGTATTTCTAAAGCAAAAAAATAAATTTTTTCCCATGGGCGCATTTTTAAAAAATGGCTTGGGACAAGTAAATCATTCATACCTGTAACTTTTAAGTGTGACAATCGCTTAAATCTTCTAGCTAAAGAATTATTACACATATAAGTAATGAAAAGAATGTAACATTGGATCTTGCCTTAATAAAATGGGGTCTGGAAACGTTTTTTTAACGTTTCTGCAACGGATTCTACGATGTTTTTTGTAACATTTTAGCAACGTTGGAATTTCTGAGACCAATAAAATCTTTAATTCTTTGAGCTTATATTTTAGTAATATTCTGTTGGAAATGGAATAACATATTACTTGCAGCTAGAATGCATAAACATTGGTATAAATATATAGTCATCCGTACTCACTGACAGCTAATTCTTTCAGATGTTATAATAAACATTTATTAATATGATATTATTCAAAAACATTCTTTTCCATGTCAAATTTGAGTGAGTACATGTACGTGTATCTTCGGACTTCATGTGATCCTTGTCGGTCAAAGATGAGTGGCTTCTGTTCTGGGTATGACTACAAACTACAACTGATGGAAAGGCTACATTTCGGGCGAAACGGAGTTCTGGAGGAAGTGGAGTTTCCGCTTAATTGAAATTACTCTCATGCTCTCTCTGGCCCAGTGTGACAAGAATCGAAGTCCGCTAGGAACAGTAGTCCGTTTCCCATTACTTTGTTACAGGTGGCATTCGTCCCATATATTAACCCCAATACCCAACTAACCTTTACCTGTACAAGTCATATGGGACCCCGGACCTCCATTCCTGTCACACCGGTCATTATTTAAGTTGGAGGGGGTGAAAAAATACCTGTGATCCCTTTTTTAGACTCTCAATCCGAACTGATT